GACCATGTCAAACTCCTACAGACTTTGATTTCAACATTTGTGAGTTTTTTATATTTTAAATGAATGCATATGTTTTTCTTTTTAAAAATTGTCTCTTTATTCGTCTCACAACTGATTTTCTAACTCAAAAAATATATATATAAGATTCTAATATATAAATAAGTAACAATCTTGACTATTTTATGCAAGAACCTGCTAGACCTATATTGAAATTCACACACCAAATTATACCGCAATATATACCGTCTAACGTCTGTGTCCCAAATTATACCGCAATATGAATTTTACCTACCCAATCCAATGCAATACCTCTGACCTCATACTAAAACAGAGTGATCAATTGTGTCAAACGCTTTCTTCAGGTCTAAAAATAAACCAATTGTATGATGTTTTTGTTCCAATGCATTAGTGATGTGGCATCAATCAATGCCATTGATGTTGCTCTGTTGCTACGGAAACCATACTGGTTTTCGCTTACTATATTGTGTTTATCCAAAAAGTTATCCAGATGCTTAATGAAAAGTTTTTCAAGAATTTTTAAAACTGAGGAAGTAAAGACACTGGCCTATAGTTCGTAAAGAGATGCATATTGCCTGTTTTGTATAATGGAATGACTTTTGCTGTATTGCTGTATTAGATAACGTCAACCTTAAAGCCAGATTGATTTTCTTCATTGTTTTGGGACAAGAAGAAAGTACTTTCTCATGCAGCTGCAAACACTCACTGCACAGATATAAACATGCAGCAGGAAATCACTCCAACAAATTATAAATAGAAAACCCTGTATTCATCATTTTGGTGATTGGTGTAAAATTAAGGCTCTTTGATGTGGCATCAGGGAGCTGTATGTTTGTGTGAAGGTATAAAGTATCTCCTTTCTCATCTATGTTAACACTAGTATTTAAACCTGCATTTACATAATATATAGTACACATTTCCTCTGCAGATTATTTACGGCATATTTCTTATATTCATGCAATTTGCCATTTATCCCCAGGCTTCTCTGCTCTACCGGGACACTCCCATTGTTTTACCTAATTTGCAGATTTTCTTTTTATTTCCTGAATCTGTGTACAAGGATTTGGTAGTATTGTGCCAGGATTTTTGCTCAAAGTAAAAAAGCAACAACTGTTTTCTAACTAAGCCTGTGGTCTGAGTGGAGCATGGCCTTTGAGTTGACGCATAAAGCAGAACTGATGTGCACACGCTTGTTTGCTTTCTTTGAAATCAATATTGAGATTTTATATATAGAACCTATATATAAAACAACGAGCCTGCTGTGGTAGCAGACAGCACACACTATACAGCAGACAGAGGTTATGTTCTGTGTGAGATAAGAGAGATACACTTTAGGTTTTTGAGGCTTTCCTGATTTACAATTCACTATCAAGTGTAAAATAACCAATTTAAAATCATGTGAGAAATCAACCATCCACAAGAGACAGGTCAGGCCACATGTGCATTCATAGTGTATCGTTTCTGGCTGAGAGAGAGTGAGAGGATTTGCAGGTTGAGTTGAAAGGGTGCCACAGTAAAACAGGAAGCAGAGAGGACTTTATCGTGTATTGATTGATGTGACGGCTCAAGTGGACGGAGGCAGTCGATTCAGAGCATAATCAAAGCATCGTGCCGGCTCTCACACCCTCAGCCATGATCTGTTAGCTCCACATGCATCGAATTACAGCCCCTTTCCCACACGCTGCGGCGGACTAAGATTCAGTTTTTATCTAATCTTTTAATATGTTTTGCGTGTGTGTTCTTGGCCCTCTCCTCTTTGTTGCTCTGTCGTATGTTTTATATGGGGAACGCTAGTGATGGGACTCGTATTGTTGTCAGTGAGTCACTGGTGAACAGTGAACTTAGCAGCTGCTCTTCCATATGCACTCTTCAGATCTGTGCTGTGTATGTGAAGGAGGGATGATGGGTGGCAGTCAGAGCTGCACCCAGTACACATGGCACCACCCCCTCAACATATTATTATTTGTATTTACCTCACTGACTAGACATGCATACAGTTGAAATAATAAAACAACTCAATATATATATATATATATATATATGAGAATATGTGTTATATCTCTGTATGTGCACTGACCCTAATTTTTAGGGACAGTGCACAACTGCAGATATTTGTAAATATTCCAGGTTATATCAGAAAAGGCAATTAAAATAAAGAAGAAAGACATCTACAAAATGTATGCTTAACAATAGCAGTTTAAAGTGCTCACAGACTTTGCTTTGAGAATGATGATGCTACGTATCGGTTTACACCAGTGCTTTCCCAAGTGGTGTGAGAGGCCCCCACACAACCAGTTATTATCACACAATTAGATTAGATTTAAGTGTATTGTAATTACAAAGTCAGAACAATGCCAGCCAGAAGTGCAATACTGCAAGTATAGGATAATATTTACAACACAGATTAATATGCATATATGTGAGACTTTGCAAAGCTGCTATCTCTAATATATATTATATACATTACTACACTATATATTCTACATTATATATATTTTACTGTAATATGCAAATTAAATGTTGTGTTTTATGTGTTTTGGTCTGAATTTTAAGACAAAACCATTACATATTTTAAAATTTAAAGGAGAATTTGTTTGCTGGTATACACTATAGATTAATACAGTATCATAACCAATAGCAAACCAATATTAAACCAATAAGATAATCTTTTAATACCTTAAGTGTGCATCGAAGCTTGACTACAAATTTAAAGCAGCTGTCATGGCTGGGAAACAAAACAAATTTAAATCACTGGGTATAATACAAAAATTAATCCACAGATTTGAAATGCTATCAATCATGCTATTATGCAAAACTATTTTCCGAGCTGCTCCATTGTTCCCATCCTTTCACATTGTACGTCCCATAGTAGTGAAACTAAATTGTGTGACCAGACGAGAACAGGAGTCACACTGGTCTATTATCATTATGATTGCTGTCTCAGAGCTGATACTATGTGCAATAGAATTCAATTTCAAAGCCTCCACCAATATGAATACATTTCCTCACTTCTCAGCCTGGTCATGTCTATGCTCTGTTCCTCTGAGTTGCGCTGTAATTGGCCAATTTACCAAGTCTCATCTCTGTAAATCTACATTCGAACATTCACATAACTGGCAGACGTGTGTGCCTGGACTCAAGCGTCTTAATGGATAAATCATCAGAAAAAAGGAAGAGAAACTACATGCATGATTCAAACATTAGTGGTGGAACATGAAATCCAAAGCATATTCAAAATGTAGACTTGCCAATCACTCGGACTTCAGCTGATAACGAAAATGTATTTGAAGGTGCACTACTTTCTGCTGGGCCAGATATCTGCTTGTCTTAATGATCTTCTGGCTTCATTTGCTCACAATGTTCCACTATAATCAAGTAAATCTATAGAAAACCACAGGGAGACAACTCACAGAACGTATGGAATGGTCTTAACATTAAGCCAATCAAATCTAATACAATACAATTACATACTTGAGTGAATGATACAACTGTAGGCCTCCTTTGCTATGTTGTAGAAAATAATGTATTTGAATATATGAAAAGGGGTGTGTTTATACTATCTACTTTTCTTTCCAATTCGATTCTATTTGAGTCCTTTTAAGACAAAACAAAACTAAAAGCCATCAACACATATCAACTGTGCATAAACATTTGGTGTCATAATGTCTTATAGTGTAGTGTTTATTCAATGAACTTTCCGCCTTTGTACCTCTCTTATTCGCACGCTTCATTCGGACTTTGATCAGGTTCCAAAAGCGGAGGAGCCCAAAAGGTGGAAGGTGTGACCAGAGAGACAATTATCCTGTGCATGATTTTTGATTTTTGATGTTGTCGCTTTTGTGAATTGTTATTTGTGCCTTGTCATCCAAACCATCCATTTGTCTTAATTTCTTGCAACAACCATCTTTCACGATCACTATATTCAGAATCAGAATTATCTTTAATGCCATTGCAGGAAGTCACAATCCACAAACTGCTTCGGAATATAGTCCAAACACGATTTTAAAAAGTATAATATGGATGAGTCAACTGATATACTTGTCCCATTAATGTAGCCTATAGAGTCTCCGGTTAAAACTCCTCAAAGTTGCATTGTGACTTGACTCAAATTGATAAAATCTTCCAAAGTCCATCCATTGCTCCTTTGTGGCCAGTGTCTTATTTCTTGCACAATGCAAATGCGGCTGTCTTGTTTAGTGCTGATCCTTCCCTCAGCAGTATTAGAGGTCACAGTCTAGAGCCCGGACTCAAAGCGCATTTTAAATCCCACGAGACGACCAATCAAAACAGGCTTAGATGCAGTGACGTCATTATAAAAGTGTGAGGCCACGCCCACACTGCGCCCCCTCACGATGACTTTGCATTTCAAGCTGTTGCGTCATTTTCATTCAGTTCATTTGGAGTAATAAGTTCGTTCGCCCTTTTGTGTTTGTCTATTGTTGGCATTGTTTCTGCTCAGTGAATGTCATGGCTCTTTGCTTATGGTAAAATTGGCCTTTTCTAACAATGTGCCCTTTCTCTATTATAGGATGACTACATCCCGTATCCAAGGATAGAAGATGTGAGTCTAGTGAAAACAATATTTATTACTATTGTGTTATTACATTTTACACTGCAAATTCCATTGAGTATGTGTCATCCCTGTTCAGTTCAGAATAATACAGACAATATTTTCTCAGTATTTACCTCATTGGCACATCTAATAAGCTACAGTCTCTTGTAACTAATGTAATCAATGGTAACATAAGCAAATATACATGTACCCTGGTCAAAAACTACCACCTAAATCCGCCTGATGTTCTAAAATGTATTTCTGAACAGCCCAAAATCACACCAGCCATCAAAGAATTAATTATTATGCACAGGGATTTAGCAAATTAATAAAAGTAATAGAGCTTTCCATGTACTCCGCCTTCGACAGAGACAAACCTCAAAACCCAGTGGAAAACTAACCATGTAACCATCTTGTCCTTCACGTTTAGGTTCTTGAAAAGGGCGGGCCGTTCCCTCAGGTCATCCTCCCACAGTTTGGGGGGTACTGGATTGAGGATGTGGAGGCACCTGCCGGGACCCCCTCCTCCTCAGAGTCCAGCTTCTGTGACGACGACGACAGCAGAGACGGCATGAGTCCAGGAGGGGGCAGTCCCTATCGACTGGAGTGTAACAGCACAGCGCGCGCTTATCGCAAACACTTCCTTGGAAAGGTATCGTGTACATTCATGATAATTGCTTTTTTACATGTGTGCATATTTTTACGCTATTTAATACTAACACATACTTACATAATAATGAACTGACCCAGCATAGAAGCGAACACAGCTCTTCCGGTCTCTTTCAGTCTAAATTGGTCTCTGTTGGTCTCTGTTGGACTTTTATGGTCTCTTCCGGCCCCTTCCGGTCTCTTCAGTCTTTGTTCGGTCTTTCAAATTTTTAGTCTGTTTTGTCTGTTTTTGAGAGACTGTTTTGTCTCTCTCTGTATCTCTCTGTCGCATTTGGTATTTCTCTCTTGTCTCTGTCGCTTTCAATCTTTCTGTGTCTCAATCAGTCTCTTTTGGTCTCTTTTGGTCTGTCTTTGCCCCCCGTCGGTCCCTCTCGGTCTCTCTCGCCCTCTCTCGTCCTTTCTCGTCTCCATCTCTTTCAGTCTCTCTTCGTCTCTCTCGATCTCTCCCTGTTTCTCTCTGCCTCTCTCGTCCTGTCTCGCTCTCTCTCATCTCCATCGCGTTCAGTCTCTCTTGGTCTCTCTCGGTCTCTCCCTGTTTCTCTCTGTCTCTCTCGCCCGCTCTCTGTCTCTCTCCTCTAGGTCTCTTTCAGTCTCTCTTGGTCTCTCTCGGCCTCTCTCTGTCTCTCTTGGCCTCTCTCTTTGGGTCTCTTTCGATCTCTTTATAGTGAAATAAAAATGGACTAAAGCAAAGGTGGTATGGTGGAGAGTAAAGGCGTGGCTCCTTCTCTTACCCCTGCTAAGCAATACTCCTGGGCCAACCTTCATAAATGAGGCCTCTGACCAGTTAGAAGATAGAAGGCTATTTTCGCAGTTTGACTTCTCCTGATATACCGTGCTTATGTTTTCAATGCAGGTACTCAAACAGCTTAAACTTTATTGATTCACGATGATGGTAAATTGCTTAGTCACAGTTGCTCACTTGAATACAAAACATGCTCTTGATAGGGGAGGGGTTGGGGGGGGGGATCATTCTAGGCTTTTGTTGGTAAATGCTAATGTGCCTATTGAAAACGCACTGACCTTTTATAGGAACATATGAACTACTACTGTACGGGCAGCAGCATCGGAAACCTCATCATGTCTCTGAAGCACGAAGAGGCCGAGGGGCAGGAGTTTCTACGCATCATTCTCAGGTTCAAACGCGCAGCATGAAAATTCTCCACCAACACATCAAATAATATTTTTATGGCTCTGGTAATAACATGGCTCGCTCAGCAACAAGCCCCCACAGCCATCACACACACAGCAATTCATCCATTTGGAAGGATGCAACTTTCTATTTGTATTTTGTCATATACATTTGATACATACGTACTGTACAGTTTATAGTCTTTTATGAGGGAATTTTACCAGTGAATTTTTATTTCTTTATATTCTCTGCCTTTTCATATAGATTGAAACAAAATGCAACCACCAATGATTTTTTTTCAATCTGCAGAGGAATACAAATCTATTTATTATCTATAATGAGTTATGACGGGTGTTATATCAGACGCCTTAAAATAATAGCATTTTCTTTCATGCCTGTGAGGTAAATATAAAACATCCAGTATACTTCAAGGATGTTTACTCACTTTTTAATGTTTAATGTTACGCAATTAATTAATGAATTTATTCAGCTCTCATAACAGTCCACCATATACTTGTACATTGTATTTTGGTCCAATAAAGTTAAAGTATTGACTATGCAACTGAAGTCTGCCACCAAATCATATCAGTAATCAGTAATTAAGCAGTACTAACTTCTTTACACTTTTGTCTTGTTAGAAGAACCTTCAACATAAACAAATAAATAATTAACTTCTTACATTTAGTTCCTAGCCAAGCACAAAATCATAATATCCTTGACATTCTCATCATTACTATCGTCGTCATAGACATCTTTATGAGACTTTTGAGCTGAAAAGTTCTTCTTAAAACCTAAATTGCAACAGTTCATCTTTTTGACTTATAGTTATACAATATAAGTGATCAGACCAGTTTTGGGGGAAAACAAAGAGAAGTGTCCAAGTAAAAAATATTTTATCATGTGGGTCCAAACTCACAAAAGCCACAATCATTACCAAGGTCTGTCATGTAGTGAAGTGATGGAAGGAATCACAGGAATGTGTTAAAACACTATTTAATGAACATAAAAGTCAATATTATGAACATTATAAAACAAAAGTCCAAGGTAAAAAAATAAATAATTCAAAATCCAAACCAGGAAGACAGGAAGTAAAAGTAATACAAAACCACAGGAGAGCTAAAGTCAAAATCCACACCATGACAAGGTCTGTATCCAACCTATCCAAGAATGATGCTTTGTAAATGATTCAAAATGCTAACTCTGATGGCTGAGTGAATCCTTGTATCTTGTAATCTATTCACAACATAGTATTCGTTTGTTTAATTTGATGAAGAGCGGATCATCTTGTTTGTTGTCTGGTCTGTGGCGTTAAGGGATTATCTGGCTCTCAAGTAAGTGATAATTGCAGTTCATTGTTGGGGGTAGACAAGTGGTAAATTGTGGTCTTTGCAACAACAACCTTTTGCCACTCTCGCCAAGAACAAAAGGCATTGCAAGTAAAGTAAATTATGTTTATCAAAATGGATTTCCTTCACGTGCTTATATTATTAACATGTTTCTTCTGAGCTCTCTGTGATTATTATGGATTTGTCTGGACGGATGCGAGTGGCAGAGGCTTGTGCCATTTTCACAGCTTGTTACAGTTTTATCGGAAAACACACAAAACACTTAATAACACTTGCGTTTTCTCTTCGTGACTGTAAAGGATGGATAAAATAGTATTGGACAAAGGCACAACAGACATCTCTATAATAAGTGTAGCAATGTGTCATACCAAACCGTAATGCTTGTTTCACACTGTGTCTAGCAGTAGTCATATTTTTGTCATTTCAAACATACAAAATAAACATAAATAAATAGTTTGAAAAGGGGTTGGACCAAGCAAGCACCAAAGGGGCACCAAACAAATAGGCTCTATGTTGTGTGCGTGTGACATTGCCCTAAGCAACGGTCACTCTCGAACTCTCACCCTGTCAAAGAACTTTAGTTAATGTAAAAATTAGTAATCACAGCGCTCACATATATGCATGATCTTACACATGGCCTAACTACATCCAGTAAGATTTTCAGCCAGGGACAGAGTAGAATTCATTGGAGAGAGATTTTTCTTGTCATAAAAGATTGTTATGTTTTTTTTTTTCAATTGTAACCACCTTGGTTTTGAAATGTTCTCTTTGTCACTCCACAATTTAAAAAAGTAGCTGACTCTCACTGTCACACTTTCATTAAGAACACACGCTGCTTTTGGTAGTTTCTGGAATACAATGAGCCCGACCAGCCAGACTCATCTACATTTCTGACACACAGATATCATTTCTGGCTGGTCAGGCTAGAATACAATATCACCGAAAATCAATTCAGTTAAAATGCCAGATTTGTTCCATTTTAAAGTTGCACAAAAACAAACTGGACAAATATAAATGACTGGCGAGTGTGTGGAGTAGGATTGTGGATGTTCTGACACACTCGAGACAGGATGTTAGATTTGCCGACATCAAGCAGCAAAGGCCAAAAGCAAAATAGTTGAAAGTGGAATTGTGTTAGTGCCTTGTTCATTCTCATGCAAATGTTAAAAAAAATGCCAAAAATGCACGTCTCTTTTTGTCTGGTTGCAGATCGAGGATCAAAACGATTCATGACAGGATCTCATTAGCAGGAATCAACCAGCTACCAAGTGTCCCGCAGGTCGCAAAGGTATAGAGAAAAGTCAAATATGTGTCGGCGTCTGCCTGTGTGGGTGGGTGAGTAGAAGCAGGTCTGCAAAACATAATGACATTTGAAACTATCTTTTGCAGCTTTTTTGTGACGATGCGACTGGCCTCAAGTTCAACCCTGTCTTATATCCAAAGGTTGGTAAACTTTAACGTTTCCTTTATAGTTCATTTTTAAATAGTGAAGAAGATGACATAGTCTGGGATTGTGTCTTAAATTCCGACAGAAGACGTGTTTTATTGTCAATGGTAGAGACAGCACAAACAACACGAACACAGAATGCAAGTGTATTATACAGAGCGGAGGCATGGAGACCTCCAATCAGCAGCTTCCACGTTGCCAGCAGAGATAGTCAAAACATGAAGTGGAAAAGTACAGGCTTCTGCACATTGATAGAATGATGAGTTTAACCTTAACAAAAGTTGCTTAAAAGTGTTATGAAATCTCACAATAGTTCACATTTTAAAACACTTATTGTATACATTCCGCATTTATGTCACAAGATTATGCATGGGCATTTGACAACCATCCATCCATTTTCTTCCGCTTCATCCGTTGCCGGGTCGCGGGGGCAGCAGTCTAAGCAGAGACGCCCAGACTTCCCTATCCACACACACTTCCTCCAGCTCGTCCGGGGGGACCCCAAGGCGTTCCCAGGCCAGCTGAGAGACATAGTCCCTCCAGCGTGTCCTGGGTCTTCCCCGGGGCCTCCTCCCGGTGGGACGTGCCCGGAACACCTCCCCAGGGAGGCGTCTAGGAGGCATCCGGAACAGATGCCCGAGCCACCTCAACTGGTTCCTCTCGACGTGGAGTAGCAGCGGCTCTACTCCGAGCTCCTCCCGTGTGACTGAGCTCCTCACCCTATCTCTAAAGCCTAGTTTATCAATCAATCAATCAATCAACGTTTATTTGTAGAGCGCCTTTCCTACACAAGGCAACGCAAAGCGCTTCACATCCCCTATCACATCATGCATAAATCAAACACATTAAGAGCACAAGATATATTAAAAACATTAAAAATAAAATCACAAAAATTAAAAACCTTTAAACATTAAAATCACAGATGGGACTAAAATCATAAATAGTCACAGTGCATTAAAAAGATTAAAGATAAAAACAAAGATGAAAAGATAAAATCATTCAGTTGTATATGCGCAGCTAAACAGAATTGTTTTGAGCCTAGATTTAAAAGATGCCAGAGTAGACGCCTGTCTCACATTCTCAGGAAGACGGTTCCAGACTCTAGCCGCATGAATCTGAAATGCAGTTTGCCCATGTCTAGTACCGACTCTGGGCACTAACAGGAGTCCAGTCCCTGTGCTCCTCAGAGTCCGGGTCGGTTCATATGGCACAAACATGTCACGGATGTACCTTGGCGCGAGACCATGGAGAGACTTGTACACAAGTAAAGCTGCTTTGAAGTCTATTCTCTGAGGAACAGGAAGCCAGTGCAGAGACCTGAGAACTGGACTAATGTGGTCGCACTTCCTAGTTCTGGTCAGGACTCGAGCTGCTGCATGTTGAATGTACTGCAGCTGTTTTACAGCCTGTTTGGACAGACCTGTGAGCAGGCCATTGCAATAGTCTAACCGACTGGAGACAAAAGCGTGTATAAGAGTCTCCAAGTCTGCCTTAGACACTATGTTTTTAATTTTAGCAATGTTTTTTAGGTGGTAATAAGCTGCTGATGTTACAGATCTTATGTGGCTTTTGAAATTTAAGTCTGAGTCCATTATCACTCCTAGATTTCTGACCTGATTTGAGGGTTGTAGAGAGAGAGCCTGGAGGTGACAAATAACGCTCTCTCTTTGTTTCTGGGGTCCGAAAACAATTATTTCAGTTTTGTCGGTGTTTAGTTGGAGAAAGTTATTTTGCATCCAATCACCGATTTGCTGGACACAGTGAAGGAGCGAGTCCACTGGTTCATGCTCTCCTGCTGTCAGGGACACATAGACCTGAGTATCGTCAGCGTAATTGTGATAAGAGACATTATTACTGTGAATCAACTGACCTAGAGGCAACATGTAAATATTAAACAGAAGAGGACCCAGGATTGACCCCTGTGGCACTCCGCAGGTCAGGGCCAAGTGGTCTGAGGTACAGTTTTCGATCTCCACAAAAAACTTTCTGTCTTGTAAATAGGACCTAAACCAGCTTAGGGCGGTGCCAGCAACACCAACCCAGTCCTCAAGTCTCTGAATGAGGATGCCATGATCAATAGTGTCAAAAGCAGCACTTAAATCTAACAGAAAAAGGACTGAGACTTTTCCTGCGTCAGTGTTTAGTTTGATGTCATTTGTTACCTTTATTAGCGCGGTCTCAGTGCTGTGGTGGGGTCTAAACCCTGACTGGAACATATCATAAGCGTTATTGATTATTAAAAATTCTGTAAGTTGTTTATAGGCAACTTTTTCTAGAATTTTTCCCATGAAAGGCAGATTTGAAATGGGCCGATAATTTTTGAGTGCCAGGGCTTCCAGACTCCTCTTTTTTAGGAGGGGCCTGATGACCGCCGTTTTCAAGGCCATTGGGAATGTTCCAGATTCAAGAGACATATTAACTATTTGTGTAAGTGAAGGTAAAAGACTGCTCAGAACTGACTTGAGAAATCTAGGAGGTAATACATCCAGGCTGCATGTGGAGGAACTCAGACTAGTGATTATCTCCTGGACAGTTTCAATTTGTACTGGTGTAAAGTGCGTCAGCCCAAAAAGCCTCACTGGCGGTTGGATTATTATTTCTATCGTGGAGGTGATGGCGTTTTTGATACCTTGGACTTTGTCATTAAAGAACTGAGCAAACTCATTACATTTAGATTTGGAAGTAAGTTCTGATGGCATCTTAACAGGGGGATTCGTCAATCTATTTACTGTTGAAAACAGAACACGTAGATTGTTGCTACAGCCTTCAATAGTTTCAGAAAAGTACATTTCCCTCGTTCTACGTAGTTCCCTGTTAAAATTGCACAACGCATCTTTGAAGATCTCATGGTCAACTTTGAGATTTGACTTTCGCCACTTCCGCTCGGCCTTCCGGCACTCTCTCTTCTGTGCCCTGACCGAGTCTGCTTTAGTCCATGGCGCTTTTTGCTTGTTTGTAACTATTTTAACCTTTACAGGAGCAATTGTATCCAGAACATTCAAAACAGTGGTGGTGACAGAATCAAGTAATTCATCTACAGTAACACACAACGTGTTCTCAAAGTTTACCCTCCCCATGAACAGTTCGCCTGTATTATCATTTATGTGTCTTCTTCTAACAACCGAAGATTCAGCTGGTGGTTTACAATCAAGACACATGTCAAAAAATACACAGAAATGATCAGACAGAGCAACATTGACCACATTTACATTTGAAATATTAACCCCCTTGGTAATTAACAGATCGAGAGTGTGTCCTCTGCTGTGGGTGGGGCCACTCACATGCTGAGTGAGACCAAAGGTTTCCAGCACAGAGCTCAGCTCTATTGCATATCTATCATTAGCATTATCTACATGTATATTGAAATCACCTACAATGACCAAACCATCAAAATCTGTGCACACAACTGAAAGCAACTCAGTGAAATGATCAGTGAAACTATGGCATGACTGTGGCGGCTTGTACACAACAATAATAAGATGATGAAAATTTCCCAAGAGACACTCTATGGGAGACAATACGATCTTTAAAAACTGCTGCTATGCCCCCCCCCTTTTATTTTCTCGTGTTTCATATTCAAATTTGAAATTTGGTGGTGAGGCTTCTATTAAAACTGCATCTCCTGTATTATGTCAAGCCATGTTTCAGTCATAAACATAAAATCAAGATCATACGAACAGATAAAATTATTAATTAAAAATGATTTGTTGCATAGTGATCTGACATTAAGTAGAGCAAGGTTAAAATTAATATCAGTGTCAATGGGTTTAGTTGATTGATTACAAAGAACTGGAATTAGATTTCCAGAGTTGGACCGTCTAACTGCTGTCCTTCTTTTAAATTTGTGTTTATTCAAGTTAAAACACATTTCTGAGCTGGTGCGAGAAACACACACAGTCTCTATTGGTTTAAAAAGTGAACTCTGTTGTACTTTGTTAAGTTCCAGATGCATAACTGAGTCAGCACAGTTCAGTGGCAGGACTGTCGTTACACTGTCAGACGGACAGGGGTCAGTGTTTGCACCACAGTACTCACCCGGTGCTGGTAAGGAGGAGGAGGAGGGGGGTGGTGGGGGCCGAGAAGCCTCAGATGTAAACATACTTGTTTATACTTGCGCGGCGCGGAGCTTACGGAGGTGACGTGACGTCACTTTCGCAACGCGTTGGTCACCGCAAGGCCCTTACGTCGCCTGCCGCGCAGCATCAAAATTTTCTAACTACGTAAGGGTCGCAGTTGAAATGACTTATAAAATAATGAATCCATAAAACTGTCACATAAACCTACAGTAGAAACACGTGTAATGAGCTCAAACAGCTTTGTTTGCTATTGTTGTTCTGAAGAGGACAAAGAAGCAGCGTAAATGGGACCGCTCCTGTGTGATCGCCCTCATGTGGTTTGTTGTGGGATTACAATATTCTCCTCAAAACTCCGTAAGGGGAACGCGCTAGTATAACATCAATTGTGCTTACGTAGGTCCACCGCAACCGCTAACGTAAGCCATGCCGCGCAAGTATACACTAGGCTTAAGGGAGCGCCCAGCCACTCTGCGGAGGAAGCTCATTTCGACCGCTTGTATCCGCGATCTCGTTCTTTCGGTCATTACCCAAAGCTCATGACCATAGGTGAGGGAGGGAACGAAGATTGACTGATTGGTCTACGCCTACGTTTCCATAACAATCAATCAACACATTTAAATGTTGATCGGAGAACACATTATGCATATATATTATTAATACATATGCACGGAGGTTTTCAGAATTATCTGTTAACGTGACAAAAATAATGTTTTAATGCATGAAAAAAGCGATCGCGGTAGCGGGAAGTAGCTATTAACATTAATTAAACATTATATGACACATCTGCAGAGGCTCTGATTATGGATATAGGTTCAGTAAATAAATGGCTCACTCAGAGCGTATGTTCTTTGTTCAGTTTTCATGTAGTTTCAGAGCCTAATGGAGGCTTGATTCGGAGGCTCCGTGAAAACAAACAACTGAGCATGCACGCAGCTACGAGCACGAGCGCCGATGATTGACAGTCCTTGGCATCACTTGATTGGTTAAAGTGGACGGCATCGTGGATTTTGAGCTATGGCTAAGAGAAGGGAAGGCGGGACTTACCCGTAATATTAGAATTAATAAAATGACTTGTTTTATATCAACATTTAAGGCCAGGAGGTCAAATTTATACAATTCTTAAAATTTGTAATTCATTTAGAGTTCCAGAGTATCACTTTACATTAGCATTAGCATTAGCAGTACAGCATTGTCACAACTTGACACACACAATCCAAACAAAAGTATGAAGAATTCTCATTAACATTTGCTTGAGAAGTAAATGAACACATAAAAAGGTATTTGATTTACCGGAATAGCTCTGTGAAATATACACATATCTTGAGATACGCACTTTATTTTTCATCCTTAATCCATTTTTTGTTCATCTATTATGTAAGCTGAAGACCTCTGATCACTCATCATAAAAAGTAACCTTTTTTAAAGCCTATGTTGAGCATTGTTAAAAGCGAAGACCGTCTGGTGTCACTTCAATCAACTGTTTTCATCTGAAACCTCTTTGAAATACAGAGCACGTCTTTTTTTCAGATCATTCTGAGCTAAATTTTTTCACCTCTAATTAGCACAACGACACAGTGTGAAAAAGAAAGCCAATATTCTCATAAGACACTCTTAAAAGTTTATTTATACAGACAGAATATGCATTTGTCTGATTATTTAAACAGCCTGACAAAAACGTCTGTCATAACACACGGTAGGACAAGTACGTAAACTGTTTGAATGAGAAAAAAGGTCTTGGCAGATTATGACAAAGTACAGATAATTCCAATAACTTTGCAAAGTCAATGATTATTTTTAGCAATTATCAACTAACTCCCTTTTAACACCTTAAGCATGTAGAGAAGTGATGGCATACAATGAAACACTGCAGAGGCTATGTGCTCTAACACATAAGAAAAGACAGTTTTGACAAGATTTCAAGTATACATTTCAGAGCTGGGTAAAAGCCAAATTCTCGGTTTGTTGAATAAAATAGATCTGACATGTTTTGACTTTCCTTTTGCAGCGATGTCTCCCCCGCTGCAGTCACAAATTGCTCTTGAAGCTAGTGGGCTGTCTCCAATGTTATACCCAAAGTCTCCTGTCTTCGTCAGCATCTGTCAAAGCAATAAGTGCATTTATCAGCCATGAGTTAATGGCGACAATTGTCTCAAAGTGAATTTTCGGGTTGCTGTCTCCGAGGCGAGGACTGATGAGGCGTGCTTTGAGCTTTTTTCGCCCGAGCAGGGAGAGGGGAGCCATCTGCGCCACAGTCTACAAGAGGCTGATCTGTGCTGTCACCAGAGGCAGTGGCAGAGCAGCATGTTGGCCTTGCGTAACTTAGGCCCCAAAAAATAGGCCCTGAGGTTATAACGGAGAAGAAAAGAAACATTTGAAAACGGTTAAGACTATGACACATTTTATATCTCTTTTTCGACCAGTGTGTTGTGGCCGGATTAAAGTCACAAAGTTTCATCCACAAGAAAATGATTTTTCCGTTCTTAAGAAATGTCGAATCTGTTGAGGTACGTTATTGTCTTAGATTTGTAACACATCAACATTTTGACATTTTGAAATGGAAAAAATGTACAGATGCTTAAAGCCATGGAACTTATAGAAAGCAGGGCAAAAATGCAAAACAGAAACCAAGGTGAGAGAACAAAGGACTTTATTAAAGGACAATCTATATTTAACTAACATTAGCATTTTTGACCTGCTTTCCAAACTGAATTCATTGTTGGCTATTTCTAAAACGTTTTATGAATGCTTTTTTGTTCCTACCATTAATCTCTCTTCATGCATATCCTCACTTTTCCTAAACCTTGCTATTAAACTTTATTTGAAGGCAACCACAGAAACAGCTTTTATTGCCATAGATCAATTCTAAAATTAGAAGCAAGCGATATCCTACTGACTCCTCTTTCATCTCCGGTCTGATTTTCACAAATTGTAAAAGAACCACGCTGTCCGTTTGGGGGAAATCTAATAGCCATAGATAAGGATTCATCTTTTTTGCGACCCGAACCCTACCCAATATAATAAACATACCTATAACAAAGCATACTACCTAATGACCTATCTCTCTGTTTCATCCAGGGCTCCCAGTTGATAGTGGCCTACGACGAGCACGAAGTCAACAACACGTTCAAATTCGGAGTTGTTTACCAGAAGTTTGGGCAGGTGCGTTGTGTAGCAGCCCCTTTGTCCTTAACCAATCCCACCAAAACAGGGCTAGGCTGATCTTATCTTATTTGTTTTGTCCTATCTTTAGACCTCAGAAGAAGAGCTGTTCGGAAACAATGAAGAAACGCCAGCTTTCAAGGAGTTTCTCAGCGTCCTTGGAGAGACTATTGAGCTGCAGGATTTCAAAGGGTAAAGAAATATCCCACAAAGTCCGTTTTTCATCACTGGCATGTCTTGTCCATCATCTCGTTTGATTCAACACATTTGAAGTGAGACTGTTCATCTGTCGCTTAGTTTTTTTGCCCCAATCATTGTCTTTCAACATTTTAAAGAGGTTTTGGAGACTTTCACATTTGTTGTTTAAGTTAAGGCTGATGCATAGACTGATTTGAAAGACTATTTCTGCTTTTTTTTTTTTTTTAAATAGATTAATTTGGTACTGAAATAAACACAAATCATCACAAAATTGCACTCTTTTAAAATCTAGAATGGTCGTCTGACTAAATATTTAGGGCTTTATACTTACAGTGGCTTTCAAAAGCACTGTCACACTTTGAACATTTGCGTTTTGTCTTGTTTACAACCACAACCAGAAAGATTGTATTACATTTTTTTACTGAAGGTTTGCTCATAAGTTACAGACAACTGTGAAATGAGAGCAAAATTATACATGGTTCTGTTATTTTTTCAAGGGAAACGTGGGGCTTGCACAAGTATTCATAGATAATTTGTCTAAGTGCATTAAATTGCCTTTAACACATTTCTAATGGCTGCTGATGGGTCACACCCTGCCCTAGCAGTTAAATACAGCCCACCTGTGTGTAATCCACTCTCAGTATAATTACAGCTGTTCTGTGAGGGCCTCAAAGCTGTGGTTAGAGTGCATTGGTCACTAAATTATATATCATAAATATTATACAAACATGTTTTTGTCTTTCAGTACAATATACAAAATAAATCATCTACAGTATATTTGTGGTTGTAACATGACAAAATGTGCAGAATTTCATGCTGTAATACAGTATATTGGAAACTAAATACGTTTGCAAAGGCACTGTATAATGAAACAAAACACAGCTCTGGTCATTTTTTGGGTTTTGAAACAATATCATAAATTGCATATTCTCAGTCAGATCCTAACAATACAGCATTGTATCATTGAGTTCATTCATGTCTTAGAGGTACTGTATAATAATATGGAAAGTAGTTCAAAACATCTACTGTTTCTCACTTATTATGGCTCACAAAGCCTTTGGCTCATCATGAGTGTTCATATAACTCCAAAGCAGAATATTTATACCAATTAACATTGTTTTATAGATTATATAACCACCCACAACAATCATTCAATAAACATTTTTAAGGACATTTTAAAGATGGAAACTTTGGACGAGCTGGAGGAGGTGTGTGTGGATAGGGATGTCTGGGCGTCTCTGCTTAGACCGCTGCCCCCGCGACCCGGCAACGGATGAAGCGGAAGAAAATGGATGGATAGATGGAAACTTTGGGAAAAGTTTTGCAACCATAGGGAAAATATTAAAACAACTTGAATTGTTGCTTGTTTATGATCCACCTTGAAAATAAGAAGCACACGCAAATAAAGACTCTGAGCTCTGTCACTGCACTGAAGTTGACACTGGGTCTGATGTGGCAGGTTCCGTGGGGGTCTGGACGTGTCTCATGGTCAGACAGGACTGGAGTCGGTCTACACGGTCTTCAGACAGAGAGAGATCATGCTTCACGTCTCCACCAAACTGCCCTTCACTGAGGGGGACGTGCAGCAGGTAGGACGCTTCCACCGCTGCCTGAGTTCGCTGTTCAGAAGTTAAAATCAAGGTTCCTGTGCAATTACTTCTGTATGGTCTTGAGTAGAGTCTACTGATGTAGATTTTATACTTGTACAGTGGGGTCAAAATGATTGAAAATCTGATATTGAACAAAACTAGATAAAGAAAGTGTCAATACTGGAAAAAAAAAATCACATGAACATGAAATGTGCAGAATAAGTTTTGTCCATTTCAGAGCTAGTGTAAACCATTGGAATCACCATAACTTTGTATTATTTTTCCTATATTTGTTCTAATCACCTTAAGGTCTTAAATGCAAAAACAGATGATACAACTCAATAAGTTCAGGTTCAATAAGCTATTGAGTTGTATTATTTGTTTTGTTATCAGTTGGTTATCAGTTTCAAAATGTTATTGTGACTTGCAGTCTATGTGCAAGGAAAAATGCATACTTAGAATAAAATAAAACATTCAATAAAGCCACCTAGATTTAAATACTATATCCACTATTCTTTGAGGATATTACTTTTTGCCACTTGCCAAATTGACAGGAAATTTCAATGTCGTAATCAGTTTTGACCCAGGAACATTACACCTCTACACCAAATGCAGACGATTACAAAATGACAAAATAGACAACAATCAGAAAAACATTTCCAGGACTTGGAGAAAAGTGTGATTATGTCATCTACTACATAAGTTCAGGTACAAGTTGGGATTTTTGTTGGTATTTTGTGAACTACTTACAAGTCCAGTGATGGATTTTACTACTCATTTTCCCCTGACTATGCTGCACCATCTCCCTCTCTCCTTCAACAGCTGCAGAGAAAGCGACACATAGGGAACGACATTGTGGCTACAGTCTTTCAAGAGGAGCCAACGCCTTTTGTCCCGGACATGATCGCGTCCAACTTCCTCCATTCCTATATCCTGGTGCAAGTCGAGAACCCCTGCACCGAAGACACAACCTACAAGGTACAAAATCACTGATACCTGACCTAAAACCAAGCCATGTGAAAGTGGAAAGCATGGACCCTGCAAATATATACAACAAAACTATAAAATTGTCAAATACTGAGCAATTTGCTTGTGGTTCCTTTTCAAATCCAGTCTTTGTTGTCCGTCATCCTTCATGCAGAATGGAATTTTGAATCTTTGAAATGGTTAGAGTAAAAAGAAGAAGTAAAGCCGTTAAGTCTGTTTTATCACTTCTGTCACTTCAATAGGTGTCCGTCACAGCGAGAGAAGATGTGCCGCCGTTTGGACCCCCGCTTCCAAATCCTGCTGTTTTTAAGAAGGTAAAAAAAATGCATGGGGGAAGGTGACACTATTTCTTTTTGATCGGGAAACCACGGGCAAGGAAGACCCCCTCTGAAGACGTGTCTAAAAAAAAAACCACATGCAAGACAGGTAATTTTCTTATTTTGGATTTAATTCTCAAAGTATTTGCAAGAATGCTTTCAAACGGATGTCATGCACATCAGTCAGACTAGCCAAAATTATTGATATTATGTTCTAATCGAAGAAACTATTTATACAGATTCCAGTAACTTGACATTGTATTGACTTCATTGATAAATCCACAAATCGAACAATGAAACAACAATACATAAATATTTAATCGTGTTGATTCATTTCCGTTCATGTGGGGATAACAGTTTAAACCAGCATGCCTTGGCCTCCACCTCCCCAGACACTTCCTTCAGTTCCCAAACACAGATAGGATCCTTACAGTGTTTATTCCCCAGGGGCGCCTTCAACAAACACTCATGAATATGCAAAAAGGAATTAGGCTAAGTGGCAGGTTCGATTAGATAAAACAAATAAACAATTAGTAGAAAAATAAAGAGCTTTATTTCTGGTATAATTTTGTTAATTGGACAACTCCACCCTCTCAATAGACTTTACATTGGTTCATTTGCATAATTTAATGTTCATTGAATATGTAATGATTTTTGTCTCATACCTTGACTGACATAAAAATAAAAAGTGTATTTAATGTACACAATAGTTGGGTAAAAGTGTCAAAACATCTGCAAATGATGACTCTAATACACACAGTTTTACTTACAATTTTGCTCAATCGGACTGAATTTGGTCTTGAATTCATGGATTTGAGTGAAAATACAGCATAAAAGCACTGCATCCTAAGCCTTTATATAAGCCCATATATACATATTTAAGCTCTTATCGAATGTCTTCTCTATTGAAAAACAGTGGAGCCGAGCGATCCATTGCTGTTATCTGTTCTTCTGCCGTCTTCAGTCTACAGTAAAATGTAATGATACAAACAAACAGAAGGTTGGATTGTCTTTGAGGCATAAGCAGCGCTCTAATCTGTGCACCACTGATGAAGGTCACCCCTCGCTCTTCATCAGACGCCATTAACTCTGTCCTCTTTCTCTCCTTCAGGGACCGGAGTTCAGAGACTTCCTGCTGACAAAGTTGATCAATGCCGAAAACGCCTGCTACAAATCTGACAAATTTGCAAAATTGGAGGTGATACAGACCACACAGACGACCACTGTTTGATAGAGGTTGTTTCAAGGAATACTTAACTACTTTTAATATTTTTATGAATAGTTGTCACTCTAAGTAAGGATAGGAAAAATACAAAGTCAAAACATTCATTGTTCAGGACTAACAAATTGCACACAAAAACATACAAAAAAGAGCTATAACTAAACTATTACATATTATACAGTTGATAATTGTTCTATCTCATTTAACAAAGTAATGACTATAGGGGAGAACGTACTAGCAAAGGCACCTGCCACATGCACTTTGTAAGTCCAACGTCTGCAGTACATGACATTATGACATTGTGGCGCTTGCGTTGGTCTGTGTCAGGGCCGGACGCGGGCTGCTCTGCTCGATAACCTCCATGACGAGCTTCACCGTCAGAGTCAGACCATCCTGGGCCTGGGGCAGGGCGCCGAGGATGACAAGCTGGAGAACGGAGGACACGGAGGGCTCCTCGAGTCCTTTAAGGTGAATATGTGGATTTCATGTTGCCGACAACAACATGAAACTCACTTTGCTCACTTCACTCATTCGCACCACATAAACCTAACAGACACAGATAAACAGTACAAGATTTATAGGGGGCTGGGTGAATATTGTATACCAAGGAGCGGCTGGTCGTCCAGGAATGCAAAGATTATCATTAAGTTAATCAATATATGTGACTATTTAGGTAGCAATAAAAAACAATTTAATCTATTTAATCTATCGTTATCAAAGTTGTTTATTCATGATATATTTTCCTATAGAATCAGTAGGTCTTATTTCTAGAGCAGTAGCATTAGATTCTCATAAAGGGCAAGTCTAAAATGTGTGGATTTGAGCGTGTTTTATTTAACAGAAAAATACTCACCTCAACAGAATGGCTTTCAGAAAATTACTTTAATATGACTTTATACTTCTTAGGTTTTATCAAAAGACAAAAGGAACATTCATTCATTTGTTTTGTTGTTCAAAACAATCAATGTTTTTGAATGTTCATTGTGTGATGATTTTTTTTTCACTTGTATGTTGTGTATGTACATGTTTTCATTAGTATGTTGTTGTCAGTGATTCTCATTTTCACAAGTGTTTTTGCACTATTTGCAGACACACACAGGGGGCGCTGTTCTGATCGCTGTCGTGGCTCTAGCTGTGTACTATCTCTCTGCATTATTGTAAAAACCATCAATACACTGCAAATAAACAAGCATGTTTACAGTACATTATGTTGTTTGTGTTAATGTATTGAGACATGATACAGACACATGATCGTATTATGAAAGTCAAATGTAACAAATATTGCATATCATTAAAATCCTCAAACAGCATGAATTAGTGCCTGTGCAGAATGCATTCAAAACGCTGCAGCTCGAGTCCTGACTAGAACCAGGAAGTACAATCACCATTAGTCCAGTTCTCAACATCTGTGACATGTTGGGCAAAGGGACTGGCCTCCTGCTGGCGCCCAGAGGGAGAACTAAACTTGGGAAGACTGTATTTCGGATTTATGCAGCTAAAATCTGGAACCGTCTTCTTGAAAATGTGAGACGGGCTTCCTCTCTTACGGTGTTCAAATTCAGGTTAAAATGATTCTGTTTAGCTGTGCATACAATTGAGGGATTTTATCTTTACTTGTTTTAATGTACCGTGATTATTTATGCTATCTTGTATTGATACGCATTTTGAGTTGCCTAAATATATACACGCGTTTATAATAACTACCAACAAAATAGATCACGATTGCCTGTTGTGTAAACTTTAAGCGATTTTAGAACTCTCATCGTCTCCCATCTCTTTTCACCTTTTTCTTAGACCACTGCGCCCCCTGGTGTTCAGACTTTGCCATTATATCAAACTACCCTTCACCTTATAATCCTTTTTGATTGACAAACTAAATTCAGTTTTCTATTTCCTTATGTTGATATACTTTTTATAGGTCCTTTCTTATTTTGTATATCACTTTGAATGAGTTGCTTTCTGAAGGACTTGTGCAGTATAAATAAGCTTGCCTTGTCTTTGCCTTCCCAGAGAGCCATGCGGGTCAGAAGCCACTCCATGGAGACGATGGTGGGGTCTCATCGCCACAGGAGTCCAGGTGTGGGTGGAGGTGTCCCGGCCAGTCTGAGCGGAGGAGGACTACCCCAGACTGTCCCCGGTGAATGCACAAAGAGCACTTTTACCGTGAGTCATAGCAGCTATCATCATTTATTGTTTTTTTCCTATGAATTATATTTATCATTTGATTTTAATTTGTACATTTTCAGCCTCCTGGATTATCTGCCAAGTCTCCCCTCAAAAGCCCTGTGAAGCGGCGCTCTGGCCTCTTCCCGCGTTTGCACTCCAGCACAGAAATCCCCTTAGACAGAAGCATGTCTCGGTATGTGGCTCAAATCTGTAACTTGTGGTGCAATACTGAAATTTCCCCACTGTAGGATGAAAAAAGGATCTCTTAATCTTAATCTGATCCATGCAATGAACTTTTCATATCATATATACAGTAATCCTCTATGTTATAGTTCTGGTACGACACTGGTCAAATGGTATTTTTTAGAAAATACTTTTTTTTGACATTTTTTCAAGAAAAAACAAAGTTGTGTTTATATTTCTTGAAGCATTTTAGATATAACGTCTATTGTTTCCTTAGCTATTTGCTCAGCTGGATACTTTCCACAGTATGAAATGTATTCAATGTATATGTTTATGCAAATATGCATAATAATCTCATTCTTCTACCTTGCTTACCTGGAAAGTTTCATCCCATATCATAGAACTTTTCAGGAAAAGCAAACCAAAGCATATCTGGCACAAAAAGACAAAGTTACATAGTGCAATATATGATTATATTTGTGAATAAGTACGTTGCAGTTGGGGACTACAAGAGTAAGCTATGAATACTAAACTTGTGTGTCTTCGAAGAACTGAATTATCATTTTCAATCTCATGTTTGCCTTCTTTCGTTCATTTACCCACAGTGAGCACAAGCCTTTGGAGTTCTGCCCACTGACCCATGAAGTGAAGTCAGATACTCCGTCCAATCCCAGCTCACCGGAGATCTGTCCCAACAAAGACAGGTGAGTGGGAGAGTTGGAGATCACGGGGCATAACGTGGATGTCAGGCCGTTTATTTGTGAATGATTTGTCACAGACCGTTGTTCAAGCTGAAGGACTGCAGCAGTGGACGTCCAAACATCTCTCGGTCCTCGTCCAGCACCAGCAGCTTCAGCAGCACCACAGGAGAGACCGAGGCACTGGAGGACCTCGACTCTGTGAGTATAGGGACGCTGCTGAAAAAATCAGTGGACTACAACAAAAAGACATCGAAGGAGTGTGACATAATAGGCATATGAAATGTAGTTAAAGTTAAACATTTTAAGGTTTTTATTTAATAATTATTTAATCTTCATTTAACCAGAAAAGTTCTATTGAGATTAAGAACCTATTTTTTGAGGGAATCCTGGATTTGTTTTGATTACAATTGCGAGACTTAGAGGCATAAAAATGTTAGACTTATTCTGGTAAATCATTCTTTATTTGTGTGGGAAATGAAGGATCCTGACAGTAATACCTTTGCTAATTTAATGTGCTTCAACAAAGAAATTACTCTAGAGATCTTTGTGGAGCTTGTTTCCCAGCTACTCGTAAAGCTGGGGCACCGTTTATTCCAATAAATAATTTAGAACCATCAAGGGACTATATAAATGGATTAAATTGCATTTCTTTTTTGAAAGTGTGACTGTGAAACCTTTATTTTAGCATATTGTGGTGGTTAGACTTTGCTCTTATTATAAATCAGACTTAAGATTACTACAAATCAGGTTCAAACCTTTTAAACAACCTTGTCTTTACAGGATACACCATGAACCATTCCATTTTGAAAAAAATCAAAAAGACATTTACTTTATAGTTATGGCCTAATAGTTTTACCTCCTCACAGTCCTTAAATCTCATTATAGCATCATATCCTTTTATGACAGTCTAGCCCCATTACCCATGATGCAGTGCTGTCCTCTCCTGTTTGCCCTCGTCTCTTTGTGACCGTCCTCTGTCTCCAGGCCCACCCCCCCTCAGTCTCGTCTGCCTTCAGTCCAGCCGCCAGTGTGGACAGCCAGGGCTCGGGGACTCCGGTCATCATGTGCCGCAGCCCCACCACAGGTCAAACACACATGCACCCACCCACACACACAAAAAGACACACACATGTGTGAGTCTGTGTCACTTGGAAACTAAGGTTATGTTTGTAGAAGGGATGCACCAATACTTATTCTTTCCTCTCAAAAAATTGATAAACCAGCATTCATAAGTAGAACATTAATTTGCCGTAGCTTTATAGCATAGACTGTATGTAGATGGACAATGCTAACCCACTCGCTCTATGAAGATACGTACGTTTGGCTACAACTCGCTTCCCATTCACTTACATTGGAAAGTGAACTTCTCGAGCCCACAATCACCATTTTGTGTTTAAAAAACCTTTGGTTTGACGTGTATGTGTCTGATCCTGGTCTTTTAATGTTGATCATGTCTTTAACCAATGGTAGTGTGTCATTTACTGTGAGGCATGTTGGGTATACGGGAATGACCAGGACTGTGACTAATGTTGAATTAGAATAAAAAAGAATGAACATTTATCCTTTTTAGAGTTGGTCTGGAATCATTTAGCAAGTTTCGTTTCAGAACTCTCAAATGTAGTTACTTAAATGTTAGGGGGGGTCATGTAGTTAAGTTTTATAATAGTGTTTAGATTAGAGTCGAGGTCTCATCTACTTTGTAAAAAATGTGACAAATACATATGGTAATTTGTTGTATTATAGTTATAATGAATGATGAAACAACCCATAATAATAGAAAAAATCAGACTTGTATTGTTTACCACATGAAAACTATACATGTTGGTTTCACATAATGACTTCAGATTCAGATTCAGTTTATTTGCCATTTGCAGTAAAAAATCACATTGGAATACATTAGCAAAAAGTCACCAGTCTGCACAGACAAATACAGACATAACACAACATTAAAAGTACAGAAATAAAACAGTAAACAAATGTCACTGTGAAATCGATTGGCTAAAACAGCTGTTAGCATAACGAGATGTCCTGCATCTCAGCGAACGATATCTTCTGCCAGAGGGAAGAAGCTGGAACAAGGCTTTTCCAGGGTGGCCAGAAGAGTCATTGACAATCCTAAGAGCTTTATTTAAAAGTCTGGATTTATAAAGAACCTCCAGAACAGGAAGCTCACAGCCCACGGTCCTCTTTGCAGAGCGGAGAACCTTGTTTAAAGCTCTCTTTTCTTTATCTGTGATGTTTCCAAACCACACAGACACAGAACCAACAAGTAACACTCAAAACCCATCTGTTCAGACTGTCCTACCCCACCTAACACACACGCGCGCACACACACACACACACACACACACACCTAACACATACGCACACACACACCCTCCTAACTCACACACACACACACACCATCCCATATTGCACCTGACTACTGTTTTATTCTGTTTATCCTGTTTTTAAATGTTTTTATTATGCCTGTACAGTGTCCTTGGGTGTTTTGAAAGGCGCTTTTAAATAAAATGTATTATTATTATTATTATTATAAGTAAACTCTCAATGGTGCAGCGATAAAAGTTAAGCAGAATCTTAGAGTTAGTCGTAAATTCTCAGGAAGTAGAGACTCTGACGAGCTTTCTTAACGACCCGGTCAGTGTTTTTAACCCATTTCAGGTCATCAGACAGAGTTAAACCCAGAAACGTGCACTCCTCTACAATCTGCACCTGGGAGTTGTCGATAGCGTGTACTATGAGTGTACAATGTAAAAAGTAAAGGACTCAAAATACATCCCTGAGGAGAACCAGTGCTCACAGAAACAATATCAGAAAAACAGTCATTGATTTTCACTCTCTGAGATCGGTCAGTTAAAAAGCTAAAAATCCATTTACACATGGCTTAAACCGAGAGACATGAGCTTTTCAATCAGTTTACCTGGGACAAGGCAGTTAAAAGCAGAGCTATAATCGATGAAAAGCATTCTCGTGACAGATTTACTAGTGTCCAAGTGACTGTAGACAGAGTTCAGAGCAAAGGAGAAGAAAACTGGAGCGGGGGCAACACTCACAGGGATCTGGCTCTTAATTAATCTTCTCTTTTGTGCAGATGGGAAAACTAAGACGTCGCCGAGGTCAAACTTGAAGTTTCGCTTTGACAAAATGAGCCACTCGTCGACAGCCGTAAGTCCGGACATTAAGTGAAAATTATTCTTCTATATTACGCCAAAAATGCTTTCTGTTAGGTATAGGTTATAATAGGTTCCAGGTCGTATCTATGTCTATCTCACTATAATACTTCATACTTGGGTTATAGGGTATATATAATGCTCCAGGCTGAGCAAAAACATATCAATGTAGCAAAGTGTGTTATTTGTCATAAATGTTAATTATTCCACATGGTTTGAATGTTTTCCTCTGATCGTTGCCTATCCATGTCAGTATGATTGGGCGATATGGTGGTACAAATATAATCATGGTGCTCCTCATACACAAAAATTGATACATTTCACGTTCTGTGCAGCTTAGTAGTTAAATCACATTCAATTTTAATAATATAGCAATTGTGATATTAAAGCTTGGGTATATAATGTATTTCCTTTTTTGAATATCACATGTGTTTTCCCCACGATAGTCTTAAATGTAAAAACAGATGAAACGAATCAGACCATCACATGCTGCCTCCATCTTAGTAGAAAATATGTTTCACTCCCATATGTTTACTCACTTTTTCACTTTTCCAAGACAATAACATATAAAGATGTGACAGAGGCAAAAAAAAAACATGCACATGAAAACTGGAGATAGAACTGTTATGAGAAGGATTGAATGTGTATTGTTTGAAAGTTAGGTTTCCCAGCTTTAATTGTTTGCCATATCTCCCATCCCCCTCACTGACTTAGCAGGTGTTTTATAACCACCCTGTAGTAAATATACATTCTCTTTCCCCTGGCCTCTTTCTTTCTTTCTTTCAGTCCGAGTAGCTTTGTGACCCCAACACAACAGACTTGTACAACAAAGAGACTGACCGCAAAGGCTCATGGGAGAAAAAAAGACAACACATTGACGTCCGTCCACCGTTTTAGATTCATTGTCGACAACTTCCTTCCGCCAAGGATTGTACAAAAACAAGTCTGGAGTCCTAATATTGTCAACTACTGTGAGTGTAAAGATCCAAGTGGCACCGGGGACGTTGGCTCATCGCTGGCTTTGTCCGTGCTGCAAAATCAGTGAATATTTTACGACCAGTTGCTGCACATTTGTTATTCTTTGCGTCATATGGAAGTCTTGGCATAGCTGTACAACTCTGAGTGTTGGCTGGTTTTCCTTCATGCAGCTTTGTTTAATAGAAGCACAGAAAGAGAAAAATATTGCTTCTTTTTCAATAGGTTGTCAGACACTAGAAAATATCATCTTTGCCTTGAGTGGTGTGTCTGCTTCTAGTTCCTCTTCAGACTAAAAAAATTCAAAAATAACACAGAAATGCCTTTAGACTAGAAAATGCATTGTTTTAGTAGCACAACTCTGGAGTTCCCCCATTTCACAGTTTGTTGTTTTAAATTACAAGACTATTTTTGTTATATTTTAGCCGTGGCTTCAACCATTCAAAATATAAGGTTGGGTTGGTCTTTTTCCCAACTCGACTTAATCACTAATCCCTAGACTTTGCATTGATTACCATTTAAATATAACAATCAAGTTTTGTTAATAGTATAACTGTCTAGTCTATTTGGTTAAGGTTAGGGCTTTAGGAATGGTATCCTAATAAGGACCTTGCTGAAGTGAGTAAAACAAGGGTCTCCCCTCTCCATCTCTGTGGGTGGAACTTCCTCATACATTTCCTGTTGAAATGGCAGAATCGAGAGGAAGGAAACTTCGAATGAGACGCACTCTGGGACAAAGATTCTTCCGAGGAGGGAAGGAGAAGAAACACGGTCTCTTTGGGATGCTTCCACTGGTGTCATGAGGACTAGTGCATTCATTCTCACTCAGGTCGCGTTGGTAAAGTGTCAAACCATTGAAATCCTCCACAAACGTTCCATGGCAGCCCAACCTGCTCCATACACTTCATATCACACGGGATAAAAAGGGACACTGCCAAACAACACCTTAAATTAGCCAAAGCTACGCCTTAAGTAATCTCTTTTACCATTTGATTTAGAATCCGCTCTGTCCATCTCCTTGTTGCTTGTTTCACTGTGAGAGAGAGGTTTCCAGATCTGGTTACGCCCCAGCTCTCACATTTGCTGAAAATAGCCTTTGCACTTGTTCTGAACATGTCGCCTTTAGATGTATCTGTGGTAGTGCGGGTTTTGACCTTAAATCCACGCATTTCAAAGGGCATTGGTTCCATTACAGACTTTAAAAGTGCATTTTGGCTTTGTTAAAGGGCAGACCACAAGAAATGAAACTTGAATTTTTTCTTCTTTTATTTGTTGTACTTATTTGAATTACTTTACAATTGTGGCTAAATCATTGCTAACATGCACAAGAATGACTTGTGGTACACCAACTGTGAACCGATAATGAAGTAGATTAAAGGGTGTTTATTTATTTATTATTTGTAATATTGGCCGTGAAGCATGTACAAGCTAACATGGAGTGAAGAGGCCAGAAAGGTACATTTTTATCAATTTACTAAAGGGGTCGCAAATCGTTTTGAATGTGGTTCACATATTGGCATCTAATTTTAATCTTGTTTATCATGAATATATCTATAATTAGCGATAATTTCATGCTATTTGCTCCATGAAAATGAGTGGTATTGGTTCTATGGTATCGGTTAAGCTTGATATCCTTATTTTAATTGATGCAACCAGACCCTTTACTATTTGATAATAGCCAAGAACATGATAGAGTTTTAACTTTACTCATACTTTTGTGTAGTCACTTAAAGAATGAATGAATAACAGTCAAACAAGAGTAAAAAATACAAACACACAGCAGTGGGATTGAAGCTTTTTATTTTTATTTTCAGTCCCTTCACTGAACAAGATATTCAAGAGAAAAATCGGATCTGAAAAAGCTGAATGCATCCTTAAATATAAAGTTAAATCTTCAATCGTAATAAATGATTACCTCAATAATAAATTCATGTTATACGCCTCTATCTGAAAAGACAATGAGAAACGTCTATTAGCATCCCAAAATCTGTGATGTGTTCTTGAAAACCTAAAGCCTTTGCACTTTTTTGAGGAATATGTGGTTCTGCTTTTGAATGATACTTGAGACTTAGTACAACTGGGATAATGGCATAGGACATGTAATAAAGGAATCAGGGAACGAAACGCATCATGTTTTAGTTGTCACATGTTTGTAGCAGATTTTTCCATAAATACATGTCCTGCAGCTTATTCCTGCTGGAAACAATGTTTAATTTATTGAACTTTTATTACACTGATGTCCTTTACACTTGTAAATGCAAAGTACGCTTATTCATAGAGTTTAAAGAAGAAAGGATAACTAAATAATTTAAGAGCCGTCTTCACATGTATATGTATATTTGGTTATGTAATGTGCCATGAAGAGTTTATTCTAAATAAAATGTTGTATTTTGTGTCATGGTGTCTCAATTGATTCATTTATGAATACATTCATATTCACACAAAGGAAAAAATATGTTGGCAGTAGAATATTATTTGACATCATTATGCTCTTCATTAGGAGCTCTTTCATAAAGTTTTATTATACCACATCAACTTTCACTTCATGGAGTATATTTATACTGCAGGAACTATAGATCAAGACTAGGACAAATTTTGGGTTAACTATATAAACATGCATAAAACAGCTCTGTTTTTATGTTTTATTACGTGTAAGTATCAATAGTCCTTCATAGATATAGTTTATTTTTACTCAGGTTTCATGCTGTGAGAGACATGGAGGTGGAAGAGACTTCCTGTTACTTACAATGGAAGTAAATAAGAATTCAAATTTGAGGTCTTGGATGGATACAGTACAGTAAGTAAGGATACACTTGTTATCCTATAATTATACAACAATGCATCAGGTTCAACATAAGAATCAGTGAAGGAAAAGAAATAGAAGATATAGTAGAAGACACTGGTCAATTCCAATAATAATTTCTAGGTCATAGAGACCTTAAGTGTTTGTGACTCCATTCTGTCTAGTTACACACATTGTGTTCTTTGGTGAAGGTAGATTGAGCTTATACTCATATATATATATATATATATATATATATATATATATATATATATATATATATATATATATATATATATATATATATATATATATATATATATATATATATACAACCTGCACATATACATATATATATATATATATATATATATATATGTGCAGGTTTTGAAATAAATAATATCTATCTATCTACCCTGTATATATATATTTATAAGGTACATTATCATTGTGTGATTGGTTAAGTAGCCTACTTCAGCTAAACAATATCTTTACATAATTTAGATTTGTTTATCTTATATTTAGCTTTTTTGTTCATCTAGTTTTGTGTGCTTTGTTCTATACTACTGTAAACTGCAACACTGGCATTTCCTCTCACTGGTGAGTCATAAACCCAGAACAATGACCAATGCTTGTATTTTATAATTAATTCCTAGTTTGAATTTCGTTATGCTTATATAATGACTGTATATGTTTATACCAGATCTATTACAGCGAATGTTTCACTTTTCTCCTGAGAGTATAAACCCCGCCCAAACGCCACGTCAAAGACGCACCCCGAGTCCATAAACAAGCGCACCCCGCTTTTACACCGCTGTCTGTGAGAGATAAACAAAGAGCCGGTGACTTTTCAGGAAAACACGAGACCCTTCAAAAGCCCCAGAGTCATGGAAGCAGGTGAGATATGTTTGGATATATGTTCTTTGTGCCACTGCCAAAGATCGAACCTGAAGTCAGAGAACACTTTGTTTTTGACAGATGACAGCTGTGGAAGCTAACAGGCTAAGCTAACATTGAATGAGTTAGCATGTGCGCCTAGCCCGTTGGTTTTCTGACATTATTATTGCCATTGTTTTCCCGATCATACCTGTATATTCCAGTATCCACGCTTTGACTACAGAAACATCACTGCTAGTTACTGAAAGCGCATTGATTTTAATTTGATGAATACAAATGGTTAGCTGTGGTCGGTTAGCAGCTGTGGACTGGAGTTAGAAAATATCTGTCAAACTCTTTAAAGTGGCAGCAGCGCATTTTTGACATAATCAAAAGCTACCTGCCAATCATGGGCGAATACAAATGGAGCTAGTTTAGAATTTATTGTGTACTGTCTACAGTTTTAAAATCAGACTCTCTGGTTTAACTTTTTATAGTTTCTCTACATGTATGACGGAACTCGAAACAAAATGCATATATTGTTTTGATTCTTCATCTGAAAACATTGCCTAAAGTGATTTAAAGTAGAATATCCGTTTCCCTTTCAGCAGAATTGCATGGCAAACTAAAGAGACATTGTATTTTTGATTTGGGCAGGAGCACAATAACATGTTGTATAACCACTAATGTGGAAATATGCAAGTCACAGCTGCCTGAACTTGGCCCCTTTCCATCTGTCTTCGCAATAATTGTCTCTCCAAGTTTAACCTGTGATTTCCTCTCAGCTTTAGATATGTATTTCAATCAGAAATCCTTCAAAGTCTCTTTCCACCAGCAAGTTAAGATCAAGCATCACCTTCAATATCGAAGCAAGTGGTTGGCACAGTACACCGCCCTGGGACCCATCTCCAGATGTTGATGCTTTGCTTGATCAAGAGTACTGTTTTCTGTCTTGTTATTCATAAAGTAAACTTTTGTTATGCATCATATTGGGAATTTGTTCTGCTCAAATCTTGAGCTTGATGCTTGATCAATTTGGACGCTGACCTTCTGTGTTGGGGTCTGCTTTGTGTCCATGGAAAATAACAGAAGCTGTGAGGGAGAGGGGTCAACTCCAGGCAGCATGCATGACTAGGCAATGTCTCTCTCAATGTTTAATTGCATTGCTGTATTATTTGTCTGAGTTGTACCCCAAGCTGCTGCCTGTTTGATTTTGTCACAGTGTGCGAGCTCATTTTTTGTCACTGACTTTCCAGTGTATTCCTCTGCAGATTAAGAATGTAATAAATATTAAGTTTGGCATATCCACATTCTACATGTGACTGCAGCTTAATTAACAGGACAAAAAAGACCATACAAGAACTGAATTGCATGTATTAAAATATTACAAACAAACAACCCTCAAAAAAAGTGTTTATTTTTTAGTAAAAAATTATTTGCCTTAAACTATCCACTATTCTCTAATTCACCCAAGTTATTCATGCTGTAACACCATACTTTCCCAGACACTTTACATTACATAGGTTACATTTTCAACTTATAATGCACCATTATTTCAGAATCAGAATCAGAATCATTTTTATTGCCACGTGAGTAACAAAGTTATCACTTGGAAATTGTCTATTATTACATAGAGAAATTATTTTCTCTATGATTGAAATAAACTTTAACAAACTATATTTATATTACACATTCTGTCTGCTTTTTAATGTGGACGTATAAATGAGCATTTTGTTTAAGGATGTTGATCTTTTGGGTTACGTTTTTTGTCTAGATAAATATAAAACAGTGTGTTTAAAAAATACAGTCTGTACCATCAGTGGAACCAACATCATTATAATGTTCTGTGTTCGATAATGATGCCAATTAATTTTTATTAATATTGATCTGGGTTTTTCCAGCCATTATCATGAAGTCGTAGAGCTGTGTGAGTGGCCATAGATCAGGCTTTTAAGTGGGAGCTGTCTGCGCCAAATAGCACGGGGCACATGGGAATTGGGACATTCCCACCTCAGTGGAAATTCCTCTTTTGAATTCTCAATTTATGGTCCATCGTTACATTTAATGTGCATACAAGCAGAAATACTCGGTAATAATTTAATACTTTGAACATTTAATTTAACATGTTTGTATTAAAGATTATGTTTACATTTATACACCTTCAACACAGAAAAATGAAACCTCCTGAAGCTGTGTTCTTTCTATATTTACAAACGTATTTTCTTTAACTACTTGACTCTTATCAGTTTGATACTTCATTCTCGAAGTAAGAATCACATTTCTTTATTCTTCTTTCAACAAAGAAATAAACTCTTTAGTTTGTGCGTTATGTTAATTTCCACTTCATCATTGAGTTTGTTTTCTGGTTTTGCAGGTACAGGTCTGAGCGCGGAGAAGGTGTCACAGTTCCAAAAGCGACTGAGGGCAGAGCCGCGTTATCTTTTGGCCCAAAATGTATCGACGTGTATCGACCCGCTGGAGGTGTGTCTGCACCGACAGACCGTCCAGGACACTGTGCACATCTTCCAGCACTCCATTCCCACAGAGGGGAAACCAGTCACCAACCAGAAGAACTCAGGCACGCAACTTTCCTTCATGCTTTCCATTATGCATCATTCTTCAAAACTTAATTTCCCTGAGACAGGATTTAATTATGCACTGTGATCTTTGCTAATGCAATACCTTTTACCAATAGTGGGTTCCACAGTTAAGCATTAAACTCAATGTTATATTTGTCCCATCTCCACCAAGAACCCACTACCCCAAGTTTCCATGTTAAACTGTGTCAATGCTCCCACACTTTGAGTTAAGACGACAACACTGACTCGACTAATACAATGATTCTCATTTATAACTGGACTATACACTATTTGACATCTACAGTAATTGTTAGTTTCAGCTTGAAATAGAATGCATGTTTTTCAAGGTGTTAGACCAAATGAAACAAACAAAAACAATATGTAGGCTATAATTCAATTGAAATCCATACTGAGGGAACCATTTGGCAACTCTTCATTAGATATAATATAAGACAACTTTACCTTGTCCTGCAATAGTTACATTTAAGCGTTGAAATCAGTGGGGGAGGGTCCCAGCTCAAAAGTGGTCAAAATGACGTGCGCTGACATGCTTGACCCGGAATAAGAATTAGCCAATGCTAACATATAGTATCTTCTTACCTCTCGAAAACGTCTTTACAGGATGGTCCAAAAGTTGGCTCTTGGCCCAAAGCTCCGTTCCACATGTGTGTCAATGCTGAGGGGAGTGAATTTTTTTGGACCAGTCTAGTTTAGTCGTTGTGAATTTTTGAAGGCACTTGTTTAAATGAATGGACCTCTCGCCGGCTGACGCATGCGCAGATGCGTTTTTTCACAATTTTCTTGTGGGCGGGACCATTTTGGATAGCTCCAGTAGAGCACAATTTCTGGCCCATTAGTTTGAACGACGGAGATAGGCGTGACTACGTCCGTTAATATTTACAGTCTATGGTTGAAATGCACAGAACAGTGGAATTATAGGAACCACCCAGAACAAGAAACAGCTGTTTAAAATGGGAGAAAATTTACTCAAATCCTTATGGCATTGCTATTGACAAGTAACGGACCCTACTTACGATTGGTAAAGTGAGAAGGCAACAAGAGGAAAGTTAACCACAAGTCATTTCAAGTTTAATGTTGTGCTTCACAATCACAAAGAACAAAGTCACGCTGTTCTGAATGTGGCCATAAGGTACATGCTCTAGCTTTGCAGTGAGTATATGATATGGATACCAGTGCCTCAGCTGTCAACATATGTCTGCATGTCCCTGAGTAAATTTAACTTGGTCGATTGATAAGTTTAGGGTGGTCAAAGAACAACATGTATATCACAATACTATACAACACTATAAAATGGCAACAATATCCTGTTTGTTCAAGAAAACCTCCAGTGTGCTTACATTTCCACAAACCTGACTTGTACATGACCTTGAGGAGGGCGTCCTTTTGCTTGTTACCGTTAGAATGTTCGCTATAATTATTAATGTATCCTTTTTCAGTCATTTGTGTTGATCTAACTGTACGTTTTTCTTTAGGGAGGTGTTGGATCTTCTCGTGCCTCAACGTCATGCGTCTTCCCTTCATGAAGAAGTTTAACATAGAGGAGTTTGAGTTTAGTCAGTCCTATCTCTTTTTCTGGGATAAGGTGAGGCATACTTAAACATTTGTGTGGTTATCTAAAGTATTTCAAAATCATTTACTTTCACTTTTACATAATTGATTGTATACTTCTTTATTATGCTAAAGAGTTTTGTACTCATTATGCTAAGGATAGAGATTTTATACGTGTTTCTTCTTCATGCTGGAGTTAGAGATTTTTATTTGATCTTATTTAGTATAGAGTTATTGATCATTTATCTTGTGCTGTGTGCTACTCATTCCTACTGTTGTGTAACTGGTGATGCAACACTGAAATTTCACCACTGGGCGATGAATAAAGGATCTATTAATTACTTCAAACCAATGCTTTTTATACTTGTACTATAGTAGCATACAGTATAGACATATTGTATTTTATTTGTAACCCTGCCACTGTGGTCATACCTACACGTGAAAGATCTCAAAAGCAAAGCGGATGCAGAGCCTGGTTATTACTGTGATGGGAGACCTCTAAGGAACACTGTGTACCACAGAGGGCGACTGAAGCTGCAAGACACTTCACCCATATTGCCCTAGTAGGAAACTGGTGTAAATGATTGGCCAACGACTATTGCTGTAGTTTAACACCACCGGTACCTCTGTTCTGGAACTGTGTATCAGACCGCCCTTGTTCCCTTGTCCTTACCACATTTCTGCTTTCTCTTCCTCAGATAGAGCGATGTTACTACTTCCTTCATGCGTGTGTGGAGACAGCGCAGAGGAAGGAGCCGGTGGACGGGCGCCTGGTTCAGTTCCTGCTTTCCAACCCAACGAATGACGGAGGACAGTGGGACATGCTGGTCAACCTCATCGGTCAGTTCTCCTAATTTCACAACAATGAACCAGTGATTTAGGGAAGTTAACGGTCTGATTATCTGATCTGTGTTGGTGAATCAGCTGTTTTGTCCTTTACGTCAATAACTTGTGATTTAGGGCTAGGCAAAATTAAGTTACATTAACTTTAGGGCATAAATGGAATACAGGACCAGGCTGTGTAATATATATGTACAAGATCCTATATGACATTAACTTTAGTATGTACACAAATGCTCTTTTGAACAAGTTGAGAATGACTGATCTAAGTCATAACGTGATTTGTTGACTATTTGATATTTTTAAATAAAAAAACAGACGCAAAAAAAAAAATGTAGGCCACGTTTTTTATTTGCTATTAAATTACCTAAAATTCTCATGCCGTATTGTTTTTTTACTTTTTAATCTCAGAAAAATATGGTGTCATTCCAAAGAAATGTTTCCCTGAGTCACACAGCTCTGAGGCCTCCCGAAGAATGAACGACATCTTGAATCATAAGGTGTGTACAACCTCAAGGCCTTTATGATTGTATTTCCTCGGGCCCAAAATTGTGTTTATGTAAACTGTTCCATTTACAGCTGAGAGAGTACTGTCTACGCCTCCGGAACATGGTCGCCAGCGAAGCTTCTAAAGCAGAACTCTCTGAAGCCTTGGACACCATGATCGAGGAGGTGAGACTTTTGTCCTTCATATTTAAAAGGGGGCTATCCTTATTAAAAACGTTTCTTTTTTCTGATAAAACACATTAAAAACATGCATTTCCCACCTTTGCAATGTGTTTTCGTGTTATAGATAAGTAATGAATCAGTAAAATTACTTTTTAATATCAACGCCTCTGATTGGCCAGAAAAATGATGACGTACTTACTTGTAGGGGTCGCAGCTCCCGCCTCACTGTTTATGGCATTGCTCCTGCTGCCGCTTTGACACAAATAAACCTTAAAATGGGTGTATTTTGTATGGCCTCGGGATGTTGCAATGAAAGTTACCAAAAGAAGAGTATAAACAGCAGTCCCTACGATCTTTGATTTATTCAGAGAAGGCGATGGTCCAAACAAACTGAGAGAAGACGCCAGCGCCAGTTCCATGAAATTAGTTCTATCAAGCTCCAACTAAAACCAATTTAACGAGTTTCAACCCAGTATTCAGCAGAAAACACAACAACTGTCATTGAACCATGAATCCATGTTTCACTCTAACTACGTTTAGTAAAAGATATAGATACAGTATGACACATACCATCTTGTTTTAGACTTTAGAACCACAGACACACATTCAGAATAAGACTTTAGAACCACAGACACACGTTCAGTATAAGACTTTAGAACCACAGACACACGTTCAGAATAAGACTTTAGAACCACAGACACACATTCAGAATAAGACTTTAGAACCACAGACACACGTTCAGTATAAGACTTTAGAACCACAGACACACGTTCAGAATAAGACTTTAGAACCACAGACACACATTCAGAATAAGACTTTAGAACCACAGACACACGTTTAGTAAGACTTTAGAACCACAGACACACGTTTAGTAAGACTTTAGAACCACAGACACACGTTCAGTATTTGACTTTAGAACCACAGACACACGTTCAGTATGAGACTTTAGAACCACAGACACACGTTCAGTATGAGACTTTAGAACCACAGACACACGTTTAGTAAGACTTTAGAACCACAGACACACGTTCAGTATGAGACTTTAGAACCACAGACACACGTTCAGTATAAGACTTTAGAACCACAGACACACGTTCAGTATGAGACTTTAGAACCACAGACACACGTTCAGTATAAGACTTTAGAACCACAGACACACGTTCAGTATGAGACTTTAGAACCACAGACACACGTTTAGTAAGACTTTAGAACCACAGACACACGTTCAGTATGAGACTTTAGAACCACAGACACACGTTTAGTAAGACTTTAGAACCACAGACACACGTTCAGTATGAGACTTTAGAACCACAGACACACGTTCAGTATAAGACTTTAGAACCACAGACACACGTTCAGTATGAGACTTTAGAACCACAGACACACGTTTAGTAAGACTTTAGAACCACAGACACACGTTCAGTATGAGACTTTAGAACCACAGACACACGTTTAGTAAGACTTTAGAACCACAGACACACGTTCAGTATGAGACTTTAGAACCACAGACACACGTTCAGTATAAGACTTTAGAACCACAGACACACGTTCAGTATGAGACTTTAGAACCACAGACACACGTTTAGTAAGACTTTAGAACCACAGACACACGTTCAGTATGAGACTTTAGAACCACAGACACACGTTCAGTATGAGACTTTAGAACCACAGACACACGTTCAGTATAAGACTTTAGAACCACAGACACACGTTCAGTATGAGACTTTAGAACCACAGACACACGTTTAGTAAGACTTTAGAACCACAGACACACGTTCAGTATGAGACTTTAGAACCACAGACACACGTTCAGTATGAGACTTTAGAACCACAGACACACGTTTAGTAAGACTTTAGAACCACAGACACACGTTTAGTAAGACTTTAGAACCACAGACACACGTTCAGTATGAGACTTTAGAACCACAGACACACGTTCAGTATGAGACTTTAGAACCACAGACACACGTTTAGTAAGACTTTAGAACCACAGACACACGTTTAGTAAGACTTTAGAACCACAGACACACGTTCAGTATGAGACTTTAGAACCACAGACACACGTTTAGTAAGACTTTAGAACCACAGACACACGTTTAGTAAGACTTTAGAACCACAGACACACGTTCAGTATGAGACTTTAGAACCACAGACACACGTTCAGTAAGACTTTAGAACCACAGACACACGTTCAGTATAAGACTTTAGAACCACAGACACACGTTCAGTATGAGACTTTAGAACCACAGACACACGTTCAGTATAAGACTTTAGAACCACAGACACACGTTCAGTATAAGACTTTAGAACCACAGACACACGTTTAGTAAGACTTTAGAACCACAGACACACGTTCAGTATGAGACTTTAGAACCACAGACACACGTTCAGTATAAGACTTTAGAACCACAGACACACGTTCAGTATGAGACTTTAGAACCACAGACACACGTTTAGTAAGACTTTAGAACCACAGACACACGTTCAGTATGAGACTTTAGAACCACAGACACACGTTCAGTATAAGACTTTAGAACCACAGACACACGTTCAGTATGAGACTTTAGAACCACAGACACACGTTTAGTAAGACTTTAGAACCACAGACACACGTTCAGTATGAGACTTTAGAACCACAGACACACGTTCAGTATGAGACTTTAGAACCACAGACACACGTTTAGTAAGACTTTAGAACCACAGACACACGTTCAGTATAAGACTTTAGAACCACAGACACACGTTCAGTATGAGACTTTAGAACCACAGACACACGTTCAGTAGTATGAGACTTTAGAACCACAGACACACGTTTAGTAAGACTTTAGAACCACAGACACACGTTCAGTATGAGACTTTAGAACCACAGACACACGTTTAGTAAGACTTTAGAACCACAGACACACGTTTAGTAAGACTTTAGAACCACAGACACACGTTCAGAATAAGAGCATATATGTTTGCATTTGCATTTATACTTGCCTCTTATTTTGTCAATTTTAAATTTTTACATCTCTTATATTTTCAAGATAGATTTTCTTCTTATTATTGATGCTACAGTTAGATTGTTTTTATTTTGATTAGTATAGCTATTGTTCACTTAACATGTGCCGTGTGCTCCTCTTTCCTACTGTTCTATAACCTGTGATGCAACACTGAAATTTCCCCACTGTGGGACAAATAAAGGATCTCTTGATCTTGATCTTGATCTATTTGATTGAAGACACTCACCATTTCTCTCAAACTAAACATCTGGAGCTGGGACATAGAGTTGAGGCTTCTCTCTCGGAGTTGCGGTTAGCTGTTGACGTGTTAGCTGGTGTTAGCTTGTTAGCTAATGTTAGCTAATGTTTGCTTGTTTGCTGATGTCCGTAAAAATGGCGTCAATCCATCTTGTCAAACCACCTCCAGACTTTTCAGTTCGGTCCACTTTTACGGCTGGGATCTTTCATTTCACGGTAGTCACTTTTACGCTTCTTAACTTTTCTCTGCACTACAATGTCCGTGATATCCATTCCTTCGTCCCTAGCGCTACCTTCGCTAACACTTATTTACACTCACTCGGGTGACACCATCGAGCTCAAACTGACCACATCCGCAAACCGGGTCGAGACGGGTCGGACCCGGTCGGACCATAGATCCATGAGTCCAGCCCGTGGAAACGGCCCTAATGTTCGCAAATGTTGAGTTCTTGGAGATTTCTCCTATCTGAACCGAGTCAGAGTCCTCAAAATCAGAATTACAGTCATAAGAAGTGCGCAAGGGCTCATAAATAAAAGCCCCTGACTTGTATTGTCCATCACTGAATGACAAATATCTGTTTAAAACGTCCGTATACAACTTTATGGCTTACAAATGCATATCAACAAAGCCCAAAGACTCCTACGTGTACGTCACTTCAGGTCTCGGCAATTTTTCCCCGAATTTCTTTTTGCATGATAATTATTGATAGTTTCACCCTTAGCGGTTTCTATCTATCAAAATGAGTTTTATTTATAACAAAAAAGACCACAATATACCAACAAAAACAATGGGTCCCTTTTATTCCAGTTTCCTCTTCTCTCGTGCCACATGTGAGAAAATACAAAACTTGGAGACTATTTTCTTTTAATTTTCTTAGATTCTCTTTTGAATGTTCTTCATAGGATGTTACTTTGTTTTGCCAGAAGAGGGAGCTGTCAAATAAGCTGTAAAACAAAACTCCAGCACAAAAAAAACTCCACTACAAAAATGAATACAATCTTCAAGTCAATAATTAAATGAATGAAACAGATTTATTTTTTGGATGGATTCAAATAGATTTGAATGCATTACAACATAGTTTGTCATGAATAAGAAGAATGGTTGACAAAGTATTAGGTCACTGGGAGGTTGGGAAACACTGGTTTTAGTTGTCCACTTTAATTAAATACAAAATATATCATATTTTCTATGTTTTACAAATTGACAGACGTCAATTTGTCCCATGTATGCTCTGCTCCTCCATATTTTATGAAGTTGTGGTACAGCAGAGTGGCATTAAAATTTCACTTCTGCTTTTCTGTCATTTTACATTTTGGCAGTTTTCAGGAATAAACCAAATTACCCACAGAAGTTTTAAAATGTATTAAATAATTTTCATGGGCCGGTGCTATGAGACTTGGGTGGCATCTCTGACTGCCACCCCCCTGACCCAGAAATGGATTTAAGGGTAGAAAATGGATGGATGGATGGATAAATAATTTTCCAAATGGCATTTTTCTTAGCCATATTTAAAAGTGTTATTTTGAGGCAATATTTGAATGTGTTCATATTTACAGAGACCAATGAATTATCTTTTCTAGTGAGCCCTTGTTATTTATCAGCTGCTGTCAGTTTGCTGGTATCTTGTTCAGTGTATCTCTCGTCTCCGTACACTGTGGTCCATAGATGTTTGTGCCTTGTGGCCATCAGCACCTCCTCCTCCAGGTCCAGACTCATGTTGTGTAACGGAGGGGAGGGGCCCCTGTTTGTTTGTGCACCTGGAAGTGGTTTGTTTTATGAAACACCGCACTGTCACGGTCACTGCTGATGTGCGATTTGCTCATGGCACAAGAACAACGGGAGCAAAAGTCATAGTTAAATTATGAGGCTTTTGAGTCAAGACGTCAAACCCTCAACAACGATTTCTGCAGAGTAGACGAGGAATAGGAAGTGCACAAGAATCGAAGAATCACTTTTCACGATGATGGGCCTGTAGGCACGGTCCTAAACTTAGGACTTTTCTCAGTCACTCAGGATCAGCCTCCTCATCTGAACCTGGAGTGATGCTTGAGATCCAGGGTTATGTTGGTGACTTAAGACCGTTGACCACCATCTCCAACTATTTTGACTATTATGGTGGTATAATCTAAAAATATTTCCTCACCCATGTCTGGCCGAACAAAATGACTCTTTTTAACTGACCAACTTCAATTCCCTAATCAGTTACCCACTCCATACCCAGGCACCAGGCAACAACACTGAGAGCAGTGTTTTTTACACTCGTGTGTTGCACTTGTGATGTGTAAACCTTTTGTGGTTTGCTTTTATACAACAGTAAAGTGGCTTTTCCTCACGGTTGCCACATGTTTCCTCTGCGCGCACACATTGTGTTTGTGGATTGGAGTGCTGTGTCAGTCCTGGTTTGGAGTCTGAAGGTGATGCTGTGCACGCTTCCTTCTCAGAAATGCTGTTTTTCATCACACTAACCCCAAACTCAGACTTTCACAGACAACCAGGCCAGCCTTGCTTTCACTTAGACCGGATTTTTGAGGATGGATGCCGAAAGTCTGTCGAAAGTATATCATCAAACCAATGGATTTAAACTATTCTGCTTGAAATAAATCAGTTTTTGTAGTTCCCTTAATCAAATATTTAATAATAATCATACCTGAGCCCAGAATGACAGACATTACAGTTTTAAATCAACCAAAATCCCATCTCTGTGTGGAGTGAGAGAACAAATGCCCAAAAAATAACAATTGTAAACCGCCTTGTGACTATGGTCTGTAAAATGCGGTACATAAATAAAGATTACTTACTTACTTAAAATAAAACTGAATGAAAGAAAACCATATAACAAACAAGACTGTAATCCCACATCCTCTTGCGTGAGAAGGGTATGCCCATAACTAACCCTGAATACATTGATCCGCGTACGTCTCATCCATCTTCAAGGCGTTTTAAACCAGCACCTGCGCTCTGAACCTGTCTGCGTGTTTCTTGGGCTTTATCAGGGGAGCAGGGATTAGTTTCAAAGAGTGGCTCCTGCTAGTTGAGGCTGGGATGTCTCCAAGTCTTTTGGTCTTCTTTACATGGATGGAAACCAAAGCGATCACTTACAGATGGGAACGCTCACGCCACAACTGGACCTCTCTCATCAACGTTGCGTCATTTGAAACATGTGTGCAGCTGGAGTTTTGAGTTTGATACCGAACTTTTGCATTTGGTCGTGATGAGGTGTTGTAAATGTAGCGCTTGTTTGTTACCGCAACCGAAAATTCAGCCTTATGTTGTTTTTTACATCTTTTATGAATATGGCTAATGTGCATCTGGGTGATATCTGAGCACCAGTTTGCCCCGCTGTAGATTTATTTTGAATTTAGTACAAAACACTAACTCTACATTATTAATTTTTATTTAGCCATAACATCTATTGAGATTCACATCATGTACTCCTACATTAATTGAATTGGTGGGTAGATCTTTTTAAGAATTCCAATTTGTTAGAAAATCAGGATTGCACAAAATGGATTGAAGCCGCTGCTCTATCCCCTCTTATGTTTTCCAACTGGCCTGGCATCTGCTTATTTTATTCATTAAAGTTATCCATTTACTTTCTTGTATTGCCGGCCTTCATGTCATTGAGACTTTCACTTTTACTCTCCCTGTCTAGACTCCAAAATTACATTAGGACATGTCCTAGAACTCCTGAACCTCGTCGTAACCATCAAATGATCACGAGTCCCCTTGTTTTCGTCTTGTCTGTGGGTGGCTTCTCTCACTTTTAAGAATCTGCAGCAACAGCCGTGGCAGTTTTGACCTGTCAGTCTAAAATTACTCCAATTGTACAATAGCCACATGTGTTGCTTGTTTACAAAACATGCAAGTTTAATCAAAACCCAGATCATTTCTATCCAAACTGTTTTGCATGGTGTCATTTGCTTACACTCACAAGTCCAGCTTCTAGACAAGAGTTATACATTGTCCAGATTTGAGACGGGGGCAGGCCAGGTCTCTGCCGAAATAATTATATCTCTGCGCCAAGAGACGTCAAAATTAGAATATTGTTTGTTTTCCGTAAGTGAGTCATGAAACGCTTTTGTAATTGGTCATAATTCCTTTGGAGGAAACATGTTTTGGGGTGGGGAATTACTGTGTTGTAACCAAATTTACGGAACTCGTTTGATTTTGTCTGATTTGAAGCACCAGGTACCAAAGTCTTCATGACGACTTTATTTCTCCTCCGTCATGACGTGAGAAAAGATGCAATCTCTATATAGTATTCATTTAACTTTCTCGCCTGTAGTTGGTGCCAATCGTTTGAGCGTCAGCTATCACGAATTTGTCTCTATGAACACAGTTTAATTCCATATTGTGGAACTATAACATGGAACCTTGGTGTAATCTCATAGATACAAGTTACAAATGATTTGGCTTAAATAAAACCTCCATGTGAAAAGTGTTATGCCTATGATTTTTATAGTTTGTGTCTCATGATCCAGAAAGAAGGGGTCAGCAAATACTTCAAATAAGGATAATATTTACATACGTTTGTGCCATACTTAAATACTTTTTAGAACTTTATTTTTTTCTCAGCATATCATTAATCATTTTCAGTTTCCTACCCAAAATGAAGTCAAATATACAAAGTTTTCCCTGATAGTTGGAGGGCTTTTGCAGAGGACAAAACCAGGCGTGAGATGGACACGCCTCTACTGTAGCCTAAACAAAATCCTTGCTGCAGATTCCTTTGTTGACCATTCACTCATGTGTGTTTTGTCTTCTAACAGTCAGACACTGTGACTGCAACTCTGAACCTTCAAAAGGCTCCTTCTGCTTTACAGATTTGGGCAAAAACACTTTGGACAATACTACGATGGAACGCAATATAAATTCATAATTACTTGAATCAGCGCTGGAACAAAAGGGCGAAGCAATACCTGACTACACAGTTGATCCTTATTTATAACGATTAACGTACCAATTAGGACTTAAATTTTAGATTTTGAAAAATGTTGCATAGTGTGTCTAAAATTTAACAAACGTAAGCACAAGCTATGAAATTGTAAAGATCTGTCATTACAATTGCATAGCTTGTGTTTGCGTTTATTAAATTTTAGATTTTGTAAATAGATAATAAAATAAATTCAACTCCCTCTGGTGGTAGTATAGGGGTCAAACATTTCTACCCTTTATATTTGTTTAACTTTCATTTTAATAGCCAAAAATTATACATATTTATTCGTTTCCATAATTTAGCAGTCTACAACTTTTAATTAACTAGTAGTTTCCTTTTCTGCGTTTCTTTTGGTCAATATTGGAATAATGAGTACTTTCATAACCAGTGGTAATCCTGACGATACTTTACAAGTTATTTCACTTTGTTAATTTTGGAACTGCTCTCTTGTAGTTTCACTGTGATTCCTTTCCAATTGTTCATTCCCATTGGAAAATGTGACTTTGTTCACATGTTATGGCTTTGATACATCAGTCTAGTTGAAAGCGTTTTATCTTTGTGGCCGGCAGTGCGCTTGTATTTCCCAGCTCTCTAATCATATTTGATAGCAAAAGCATGTTCTGTGGGAACAGCAGAAGGAGAATGTTCATGGGAAAGACGTGAATGTCCAAACATCCCACAATCAAAAAGAGAGGAAGTGTTTTGTGTCCTCCGCCAAATAATTAATGAACTAATAACAGATGACAAACTACACGAATGGCCAAGAATATGTCTAGTCTTTTTCTTTTTAAGTTATACTGACATGATGCTTGAAAATGTGTCCCAAATGTATATTTCATTTTATAAATTGTTATGGTTTCTAATTTCAAGTGGGACTTTTTATTTAGAATTTTTCAGGATAGATTGTTTAAAATACTAATTTTTACTTATTTACTGGTTGATAATAATGTCCTTTTTGAAGACTGAATATAGAGTTAAACTAGTTGAATTGTGTACTAGATTTAGAAATGAGTTGACAGTGGCTATCGCATTTACAATGTAACTTCAAGAAAGATTCAAGAGTTGATCAACTCCAAGAATTGGAACATGAGCCTGATTCTTATTGTGTTTTACGTGTGAATAACATGTACGCACACCATGCACTGTGTATTTGGTCCAAACGTCCACATAAATCTGTGTGTTTGTGTTTTAGGTGTTCAGAGTGGCCAGTGTTTGTCTAGGCAGCCCCCCGGAGAGCATCTGCTGGGAGTACAGGGACAAAGACAAGAACTTCCACCGAATGGGACCCCTCACACCGCAGGAGTTTTACAGGGAGCACGTCAAACCACTTTACGACATTCAGGACAAGGTGAGGACGGAGGAGCGCATAAAAACAGCCTGTGTGTGTGTTTTTGGACTTCCCCTGTGGTAATCGAAGTATTTGTATCTGAATATTTGTGTTGGGCTGCAGTGCATAACATGTTTAGTAAGTACTGTAAGTAATCTTTATTTATATAGCGCCTTTCACAGACCAGAGTCACAAAGCACTTTAGAATTATTGTGGGAGTTTGTCTCTCACTCCACACATGGGACGGAGCAGGGTCGCCATACACAAGGTATGCCCTAGACCTATTGTACATGTTTTTAGTGGTAAGGGAAACCGGAGCACCCGTAGGAAACCTACTCGGACTCATGGAGAAGATGCAAACTCCATACAGAAAGGCCTGGAGATGGAATCAAACCCAGGGCCTTCTTTCTAACCAGTGCACCATCGCGTTGCCCAGTATTACTGTAATACTACACTATTTCAACAGTAACTATAGCTATAACTATTTTAGTACATGTTATTGGAAATTCAGAATTCATGAACACATGGGATGCTCAATCTGCTTTCTGATTGGCTTGAATTGAAAATTGCTTTGAGTGTCTTCAACGCGTGTCAAGTGTTTTGATTCAGAAAAGAAAATAGCGAAAAGTCAAAACAAAAATAATCAAAATAGAAATGTTTTGGTGCATGCACATCACCATGGTGCAATTACTATAATATATATGGAAAATTGTGACTACCTTTTTTATATAGAGGGATTGAGCAGAAGATGTGCTTTACTGATCAGCTTGAACTTGGAAAAGTGAAAAAGTGTTGTTTTGTTCAGATCTGCCTTGTGAACGACCCGCGGCCCCAGAATCCTTATGGGAAGCTGTACAGCGTGGAGTTTCTGGGCAACATGGTCTCAGGCCGTAGCACTCTTTACAACAACCAGCCCATCCAACTGCTCAAAAAGGCAGCCGCAGAGTCCATCAAAGAGGGCGAGGTGGGTCTCCGAATGAAAACAAAACGAAATGTGATTGTGATAAATCTGAAGCTGACCTGTGTTTATTTTTCCCACTCTCCGCAGGCCGTGTGGTTTGGTTGTGACGTCGGGAAACATTTCCACGGGAAGTTGGGCATAAATGACATGAACGTGTGAGTAGATTGGTAAAACCTAAAATTTCACACAATCTTATTATTTGTAAACGTCTTCCAGTCAAAGACTAAAGTGTTCTGATCCTGAGGCAATGTTAACTTCATCACAGTAGTTTATCACGCGATAAAACGCTTCTCAAAATCCCTTTCTGTTGCCGGGTTCTTCATCATGCATCTGTTTTTGATGCCAGGCTAAATTTACATCTCTGAACTGGTTTGCTGTGATTGACTGATTGCTTATCATCTCTGTAGCTTCACAGAATGTCTGCTTTGAAAATAGATTTACAGACTGTGCAGGGCATGCATCTTCTAGCATCTCAATAGAATCAAGACTGGGCCTTCCAATGGCTTTGAAATAATGCGATACACAAATGTTTCAGTCTCTCGAACATCTCAGGGTTCTTGCCCGTTTGTGTTTCCAAAATAAAAATAAAAACCTGATTAGACTGCACATTGTATACCATTGTTTCACTAGATCTGCTACATTTCAAAAGTGTGTAAGAAGTTGAATATATTTGCTATAACCTTGGCACACTTTTTTGGTTAAAGCTTTTGGTACCAATCATGATCACTTTACAGACGTACATGTCTATCGTGCTCTACACTTGGTCTTTTTTTCCAAGGCTTTACTGTAAACTCGGGCTAAAACCCAGGAGGACCGTCTGTTTATACAGGAGCAGGAGAATGTCCGCTTAAAGAGGTGTGCCAAAGGAGTGGTCTGATTTGGGAGGAAAAGTGTGCGACGCCACTGTATATAATCAAATCACACAAAAAAACCTTCTGGAGCATGGTGCACAGGGAAGCAAAGGCCCTAGTTATTACATAATTAAGTTTAAGTGATCCTTTATTCGTCCTACAGTGGGGAAATTTCAGTGTTGCATCACCAGTTACAGAACAGTTGGAATAGCACACAGCTCAAGATAAATGAACAATAACTCTATACTAAATAAAGTAATATCTCTAACTCTAGCATCCAAAAGAAACCGGTATAAAATCTCTACCCTCGTGTCTCTTTTGAAGGCCACCCGGACTATCCTCTGACCTGTTTGTACGCTAAAAAATTAACCGAATTGAATACACAAATCTAACGCTTCCATGTATTAATTCAACCTTGAGCTACCTTCCACAGTATGGCATAATCATGGATCTATAATAATAACTGGATAGTCTATTACTATAGCTTATAGCTGATGAACCTAGGCTTCCCATATTACTGCTGGGCTACCCAGAAATGTTCCCCATAGAACTCAATGTAAACTAAAACTGCTCACCCTCAGCTGACAGAAAACCTACAGCTTTCATAATGGTTTTTTTCTGGGGATTTTAGTGTCCCTTGTCATCCTGAACTTTTTTCTTGTCAAATCCATCGGTTTTCGATAAATCCAAACTTTAGAGCAACAAACTCTGCTTGTTTTACTCCCTCAATAGCTCAGCTCTGATCAACTGCGCCTGACTGGTCAAAATGCGAGAATCCCTCTGTGCACGTGCATGAGAGCCAGACAATCTTAGTATTTGGTATCGTTAGTATTTGGCGCAAAGTATCATGGGAAGAATATGGATGGGCTCCTCTAAGCTTTTGGTGCCCATGGTCGCTTCATGTGCCACTGGGCACAAGCCATTGATTTGAATAGGCTGCCATCTTTGATTGCCGGGGCTCCATTGAGAAGAAAGATTAGAATCATGCTGTAACTTCATTAAACTATTAGAGAAATTAGTATCAGAGTGACTTGTTGACTCTAGACCAACATCTTCCATGTCTTCACCAGGTTTAATCACGAGCTTGTGTTTGGCGTCTCCGTGAAGAACCTCTCAAAGGCGGAGCGGCTGATCTTCGGAGACTCCCTCATGACCCACGCCATGATCCTGACCGCCGTCACAGACAAGGTACGCACTTGCAGCAGGGACAGGTGCGTCACTGCTCCACTGTGCATGCAAACACGGGGATCTCTGCACACATGGAGCCCACGAATACGCACAACCCAAAAGTTTATTCCATCAAACGTTGTACACAGTTTACGCCACTCTAATGGGCTGCAGTTTCTCACGGTGCTGTCAATTTCCTCTCTGTAAGCAAGCCCAGCTGTCCCGACACGTTTTCAGGGTAGACTCTGCTTGTCATACTGCACACCTGGTCTCATACATGCGCCTTCTGTCCCTCAGGAGGGGAAAGAGGGCTTCGAGAAGTGGAGGGTGGAAAACTCGTGGGGTGACGACCGTGGAAACAAAGGTAATTATTTCAAATATTAATACACAAAGCTGTTTTCCAAGTCACAACATCTGACCGATTTCCACTTGACTATAAACACAATAAATGTATTTGTTTATGCCCTGGATAAATTATAGCTATACAGAATACCCACTCTGTTCCAGTGAAAGGTATGCAAGTTTTCCCTTTTTGAATTTGAGCAAACAATTCTTTGGGAAAGGGGAACTCTTATACAATTTTTTGTTGTGGAATTCCAACCGTCTACTCGGATTACTCAAAGCACCAGGTCCTTGTTGCTCTTATAATGCTGAGAAATGGTTGGTTTTGCCTTCACCCAAAGAATTTATTCAGAATGCTTTTTTTTTTATCACCGGTGTGTGTATTTACATTCTCAAAATGAATTGCAAATTAATCTGATATACGCATGCCTTCTTCAATCAATCAATCTTTATTTATAGAGCGCTTTTCCTACACAGGGTAACACATCATCACATAAACAAAGGCAAAATCACCATTAAAAATACAATTAAAATCACACAGGTAATTAAAAACATTAAAACATTAGAATCACACAAGTACTTAAAACCATTAAAATAACACAAAGGATTACAATAGTAAATAACACTGTGCGTTAAAAAGTTAAAATTCTTCAGTTGTATGAACAGGCAAAGAAGTGTATTCTTCAAATACACCATACCAATAATTAATATTCTATTATTTGTGGGAGTAAATGCAGTATGGGTTTTAATTGTCTGACCTTATCAGGTAAAAACAACACTCTGATCTAATTAAAAGATTCATGAATAAAATGGTACTAAAGCTTGGATAGTGAGCTTGCATGTATCAACATGGAAGAAAAGAACACTGGATTTTGCTTACAATTATGACATAACTTATTTATGAACATACACATCCAGTATCAGCTTTCCCACTAAAGATAAATCGTTTCTTTAGACAAATGTTACTGTTGGTTCTTCGTTCCATTTTATTGTGAAACACTCTTCAGTTTATTTTCTTGATTACTATCCAGCATAAAACAAAGACTCCGTAAGTCCTGTGACTGCTTTATGAACTCATAATTGGCTGTGTCCTGGAGAAAACACTCACTTTTGGTGTTTTTGTTTTCTCAGCTCGGAGCCTCCAGGGGAAATTGCTTAAAGTTAATGTTGTTACAAAATAAGTTGACCTCAGACCACCGGGAAAACCTCAGTGACTTGTTCATAATGCCTCTCGGTGGCTGGGAAGTTTTGTTAACCACAAATTGGCTGTGATAACCTAAGTCAGCTGGGGCTGCGACCAGTGAAATGTGTTTGGAATCTTCAAATATGGTATTTTTGAGGTTCAAACTGTTGACAATAACACACACAGGTCCAGCCATAATATAACAACCTGTAGAAAAAATGTTATCCCAAATACTTTATATTGTTATTTGTTTGTCCCACATATTGATGGAGAGCACCGAACATGCAATATCCACAAATGTCATGTCAAGACTGCAAGTGAGGAGGCTTCCATCTTGTAGTCACCATCTTTTTAGCCACTGTAAGCCTCATCGGGAGAACTCTTTTCCACAGTAACGGTACGGTATGGTACGGCACAGCACGGCCAAGTGTGAGTGCTTTTCCATAAAAAATGGTACCACGTAATTTACGCGCGTAACTACTAACATTGGTCTGATGTGTCACTTTTTGTCATTTGAAATAAAATGTTTTAATTTCGAGTTCAATACATAACTTACTTAAATTTACAATATACATGTATTTTAAATAACTATCAACTCAAAAAAGGAGTGAGAAGAAAAAAGGAATATATGATAAAAATCATATGCCTAAACATTTATTTTGCCCTTGTGTTTTGATCAAAAATAAAACCTTTTTGTATTTAGCAAATATGTCTCCATCCTCAATCCTATATGGATTTACTGACAAATATAATGTATGTAATGTAAATAGAAGTAAAAGTATTTGGTAGGAAACTTTTGAACCCCTTTTCTGCACGTGTACAGACAAATGAATGAAACAAAGTCTTGATACAATCAGATTTATTAAAAACAAAAGTAAATTGCAAAACCAACAGTTTACAAAGTCCAAAGTACGCATGTCTCTTGAGACCAGGTCCAGATGAGGGGAAAGTGAAGTGCTCCGGTCACTCATTACTCGTTTGTAATCTCCACACTTGTGGGAAGGGATTCTCAAACAAATAAATATACACACGACAACTTAAGTACAAGCACAAAACAGAAACACGTGAAAGGGCAAAATACAGCACAGTAGAAGGACGTTTTAGCTTAGCTTGCTATCGATGACTAAATGTAAATACATTTCAGTGAGAGCTTTGGGCCAACGGGATACGTAGCTAACCAGTTATAAATCAAGAGCGATCTCCCTGAAAACCTCGTTCCGTGTTGTGTGTTCGAGCTGCCTTTGAATTCTTTCTTTGGCCTAAAGAGAGTAACGTGTGGACCTCGTCCACCGACCAGGACCAGGACTTTTGGGGCTTTCAGTGCGATTCCATTTCTCTGGAGTGAGGTGTATGTTATGAAAATAGATCCATGGGAGGACGTATGGAAGCAGAGCAGCCGGTTTTAAATATGGCGGGGTTGAGTTGTTTCTACCTTAGGGTTGCACGTCGCTTCCAGTGACGAGACCATTCAGTGTAAGGCAGTCGGCTGACGTCACGTCATGGTATCGCTTTGGCCCGGACAAATCCACTGTCGAGGTGGTACGATAAGTACCCTTATCCCAAGCCCAACCCCAACCCTAGTGGAAATTTAAAATAACCGCGCCGTGCCGTACCGTTACTGTGGAAAAGGCTTATTTGTCTGATTCTATTAGGTCCTCCAGAAGTAGGACGGGGCATCAGGAAGGACAGGAGGACAGATAGATTTCTGGGCAAAACTTGTTTTTTTGCGTAGACCTCAGCGCAACAGGAAACGTTCAGCTTTGCACCAACTTGAACCCTCAGAATGCCGTGGCTTCGGGGAAATCTTCTGAAAACTTCTCTGTCAAGGCGGATTTCTTTCACACATATTCCATTGCATAAACATCAGGGCGGTCTGTCCACAGCCAAATTAATAAAGTTTCAGAGAACAAAAGTTTAAGACATGGAGCTCACTTGGGAATCCAGGACTTTGTTTGTTTTGAGGAAAGCTGGAGGGAAAAGACACACAAGCAGCAGCGGTAGGGAAAACACTGTAGGAGGTTTTACACATCAACAAGGTTTTAAATTCTGCATATATACATTACATTCAAATATTTAGACAGAGTAATAATATGAAACCCCTGTGATAATATCCCTGATTTTAAAAAGATACAACATGATTCACAATTGGACATGATGCACAATATTGACACAAATTAATCTGTTTGATCGGCCACGATGTGACAATAAATTACATTTCTTATTATTCAACTCTTACAAATGATGAGATTTTTTAAATGTTATTCTTGCATTTTAGACAATGACATGACAACCAATTAAACCAATGTGCATTATAAGTCATATAAGTCATACATTTTACCCAAATAGACTTTATATAATTGCGATTTATTTGGGTAAGGCATGGCAAGTTTCTTTTTTATAGCACAGTTTTACACAAGGCAACTCGAAACTAGAAAATAAATTAAAAACATACAAGACATTAAAATGATAATCAAAACACAATCCTTCAGTTGCATGCACAGCTAAACTTAATCTGAAATGTGGCCTCCCCATGTTTATTCCTAACTCTGGGCACCAGCAAGAGGCCAGTCCCTGTGCTACTATGGACCAGCAGGAGGTTCAGTCCTTGTGTTCTTCTGGGCAACAGCAGAATGGTAGTCCCTGTGCTCCTCAGAGTCAGCAGTGGTTCATATGGCACTAACATGTCTCAGATCTACTTTGGTGCAAGGCCTTGGAGCGACTTGTGCCCAAGCAGAGCTGATTTAATGTCTAGTCTCTGAGCCACAAGAAAGCCGGTGTACAGTGGTCATACTCTGCTCATATGGCTCTAGTCAGGACTCGATCTGCTGTATTTTGAATATACTGCAGCTGTTTTACATCTTTATCCAGATCAAGATCACATGTCTGAAGCGCTGGATAAAGCGCTTCAGACATGTGATCTTGATCTGAAGGGGACTCTCTTGAGAGGTGTAACTTTCTGTTTTCCTCATATTTGGCCCGTCACTCAATCTCTTATGGGTCTGAGTACAACGTGTGTTTTCACATTAAAACATAATGGTATTTAGTATATTTGCCACAGTTTGTTTGCCCCGGGGCAACCGTGGCTGCAGCTCTGTGGCCAAAAGCCTTCATGCTGTGTGATGAGAGTGCTGTATTTCAAAATACCCTGATCTTTAAGCTGCATAGCTGCCTGTCAATCCCAAAACACGAGTCAGCTCTCCATTGTATTAATCATTTCATTCTGGGGCTACATATTTGGCCAAAAGGAGATTAGTTTTTCCAACACATTGTCTTCAGTTTAAATTCAACATTTCATAACTGCTCCAGATTGGGATGCATTGACCGCCTGCCATTGCACGCACAGTTGGGATGATGATTGTCAGAGTGGGCGTGCAGAAGGTGATGGCTGAAGTCTTTGAAATGGAGAGGGATGCGGAGCTCCGGAAGTCACTCCTCTCACTACTTCATTTATTCATTCCAGTCCATAATGTTATAATGAGAGTGAGTGCTTGGACAAAATAAGTGGGCAGTTTTGAGGAATTTACATGTACATAATATATGCTTTTTACTGTATTCAAAGACCAAAACACTGATTATTTACTCTTAAAATAAATTTAGAGTGTGAACAAATGCAAGCACCAGCACACTTTCCTCCTTGAATATTATTTAAGCTTCTTAAAATAAGGAAGCCATAAGTATGGCTTCCGTTTTCTTATGGCTTCACCTAAAATGTGAGGAGTATATATTCCTCAAATTTTCGATAAAGATGAGTTTAAAATCTTGCTCATATGTGGCTGTGGAGTGATTTACCCAAAAAAAACTTATAATAAAAAAAAAAAACCAGTTTCTGAAATGTTTTTATTGTTTGTTTTTTTTTTAACTAATGTATTCTTAGTATTTAGATTTTTATGGAATAAATACACAATTTATTTTGGTAATAACCTTTTTAGGGTATTGTTCTTCTCGTGTTCCTTGTAGGTTACCTGATCATGACGGATGACTGGTTTTCCGAGTACGTTTACGAGGTGGTGGTGGATAAGAAGTTCCTCTCTGCGGAGGTCTTGGATGTGATGCAGCATGAGCCTGTAGTACTTCCTGCCTGGGACCCAATGGGAGCTCTGGCTTAACAACAGAAAGACCCAGGGAAGTCTGGCCTCTGCTGCTTTTACCTCTCCACTGCCCCCTTCCTCCAGAATCAACCTCTTCTAGATAAAATAATAAAGATTTCTTTTTTACTCAACTTTCTTGTCCTTGTTTTATTTGTATAAGATGTAAATTAATGAAATTAATAAATAAATGTAGGGGTAAAAACCTGTGTATGTAAAAAGCCACCAATAAAATAATTACACTTTTTACACATCTGGGAAATTGCAGATCCAAGTCCTACTAAACCAGGATTAAACTAGAACTAGACTTGATTATTTTAGCACAGGAGAGGATCAAGAGAAGGAAAGTTTATTGGGGGATTCTTGAGAACAGCGAGGTCCCCTTTTATTTACTTTGAACCAAGGCTGCCAGAGGGGATTACAGGGGTCACGAGGCACCACACGCACACACACACGCACACACACAAGCTTATACTAACATGAAAACACACACAGTAACACGTTTTTTAAACTATTATGAATGAGCTGAAATTAAAGGGGCTATATGTAATCTAGTAATTTTTGAGATGCGTCTACATTTGTGTCCCTACCACATATATGAATGATATTTGGCCTTTTCTGTATAAAAGTATTTATTTTAGATTACAAATACTATGTGTAGGATGCCCATGATCTCATGTTTACAGTTTCCACGCATATTATCTAATCAGAGAGCAAAATCATGAGTCTTGAGTTTGCACATTTCTGGGTGAATTTATTTTTTATTTTTTTAATGGCTTGACGTGTGTGATAATCATTTGTTCTCATTCTTTATCATTCATGTGATCTTACTGACAAGTGCATTTCCATAAACAGTCAAGTCCTTCTGTCCACTCACTCAGGACCTACACTTTGTGTGTGTGTGTGTGTGTGTGTGTGTGTTTGAATTGCTTACAGGAGTTGCATCATCCATGAAGCTTAGACCCTTTACACTGAAATGCACCTTTAAATAAGTACAACAATCCTCGTTCATATTTCTTGGAATCCTGGCCTGGTTCTAAGTCGTGTTTGTGTAATTCATAAGAATGTTCTGAAAGAGGTAGATTGATGGTGACCCAGAGATTGTTGAGCTACGGATAAAGACGTTTGAGAAACATCCAAATCCTCCCAAAGGACATTTGATGAATTTATTACAAAAGGCCAAAGTAAATCTTAAATTCTTTCTCAAGTTAAAAAATCCATTGACTTTTTCAGCTTTAAAAATAAGTTGTTAATCATGCAGAACTTGTGAATGGGTAACAGTAGTATTCAAAATGCTGCCAGATCACAAAATATGTGGTCTGGTCTCAGTACGGGCTTTATCAAGACGTAAAAACCACAGGATTTCTCCAGAATCAATGAATCAAACGTGTGAATGAACTGCAGGTGCTGTGGGCCCCTCGCTTCATCTCAAAACTAAGACTTATGTTTTGCTCTCGCATTATTTCAACTTTATGTAGTAAAAATGTCATGTGTCTTTGCTATTTATGAGCCAAAGGTCAGCAATGAACTTGAAAGTGCTTTGTATTCACTTAGTACAAGAAGCAGACCTGTTATGTCACAATAATAATAAAATAAAAACATACTTAATATATTAATTTGTGTATTGACTTCACATTATCGTCACCTGGTTCATTAAGACCTTTGTCACATTTGCAATGGTTCGTTAGCACAGCACAATAATGGCCATAACTTCACTATTGTAGTTTTTACATGAAATCAATCAAAGGTGAAAGTTGAACCACGCCATAATATAAAGGTGACTTTAACATTAGTCCAGGGACAGTGGATTAAAAACGGCCAGTTTGGTCGATTCGTGTACATTTACAGAAATTGTTATGAATTCAAATTGTCTATTAAATAAACAAATAAATACCAAAAAATGAAATGTATCACTAGCAGTCGCCAGCTTCGAAGTTTCTCCTCAGCTCTGCACTGACCCAATCCAATTTGAGTGTCTAAATGATGAGGCGAGAGAGGTGATAACAAGACTCACAAACCTATAGTACATACATGAATAAATGCTGGGATATTGTAATAATATCATTCTGATTATTGACACCGATAGGCTACCTCCTTCAATCATCACCAGGAGTCCTCTTTTATTTTGTTCAGTTCTCAAAATGCTTCTTCACCACCTCCTGCTGTGCTCTGGTGTGTGCGTAACCCTTTTGTGGATTTACATGTACGTGTGTGTTGCAATGAGGAGGATTAACCTAGTACTTCTGGCTGATGCTGATTGGAATGACGTTCAACACCCAGCCCGGCTGCTTTCTTCCACAATGAAAACCACGGGTCACTCACGGGGCTCTGTTGTAGTAAGTATTTTAGCATTGGGCAGATTAAGAGGTCACTCCATGTATTGTCACAGTTTAATTCACAACTTCAAATCCCAGTAGGCATTCGGGCTATTTGCGGTTCACTTGGCAATTTCCCAATGTTGCGTTTTGCATGAACTGGGTTAGTTACTGATTGGCACAGAGAAGACAGACAAGATTAATCTGTCTTTGAAACACCCTCTCTTTTATAACATACTAATTTATAACTTCATTCACATGTTTATGCTTAATTATTTCAGCCTTTTCTTTGACCTCTTATAAATATGCACGAAGTGGCCTAGGATTAGAGCCAGGGATCCTTCAAGCTGCTCAGCGTGGTAAGAAGCACATGCAGGAGTGTTGGTCTGTAGGAGCGCTTGTGTCTGAGCATGTCTGATTGGTTTCAGATGGAGGTGAGACCTGGACCCGCTCTGGAGGGTCCAAGGACAACACATCTGGTGAAGACAAGGTAAGTCTCCACTTTACATGTGTATACATATGACTTTAGAGAACATTATAATGGGAGACTTTTAATTATACAAATGGATGGGAGATGTGCTTTATACCTTGACCTACTTACCTCCAAGTTAAAAAACCTGGATATATGTTCAGGTTTGTGGTAATTCATTCATTGGACAATCATTTGAATGAATACATTAAACATTTACATCTGCTATCATTGAGGTGAATATTTTATTTAATCAAACATGGTCGTATTACATTGATAATACTGATTAAAGATTCTTGAAGCCACAATACAATACATGCTAGCTGAAAACTAATATAATGCTGTTTTTTGTTTTGCTTTATTTTGTTTTTTGTCCGTTTGACTATTTGTATGGTGCTGCGGGGGTAAAATATGTGTTCGCTAATCTTCCCTAACTACTTGTCTTCATGACTTAAACATATTCAAAAAGGCTGTATTCGTTTTTGTACTTTTTTTCATCTCCCCCAAGTCCTGCTGTTTGTCAGGGGCTGATGTGTACTGTGCTGCTATTGTTAACACCAGTAAAAAGATATAATAATATGCAATTTCTTAAATGAAAGAATTTGTTTTCATTGGACTCACTATTAGTCCTGTGGAACAAACACAATTGCGCGTCAACATTGTGTCCAGAAAGATACAACACATACTTTTAACTGAATACAGTCCAAACCAGAGCTATCATCAATTTGTCATTAATCTATTAGGAAACACACAGTAACATATTTCTAAGTGTGGGAGGCAGGGTTTTTGTATCCTCTTTGACTTTTACATTTACTATTACACTAATATAGCTTTCACTCATTATACACAGAGGTTTCATGTTATACCAACTGTTTGTTTGTTAGTTTGTTGTGACATTTAACATAACAGAGCATCCCTGGAAACTCAAGCTTGCCTTAGCAACCATTAAAGCAACACAACAGCAGGAAGCCAGCCCCGTCGGAACGAATGCCCACATAAGAAAAGTCCAGTTAGTTTAGATTATGCATTGTTTCAATAGACATGACGTTTATCCAAATAACTATCCATGGCCTAAAGCTGGATACCTAACTTTTGTGTTTCATAAATAACCCATGTTGTTCATCCAACAGAAAGGGTCTGGTAAAAGATGAATATGAATACAATCTTGTCTTCATTGTGTTAAAAAACGTAACGGGTTTTAGATAGTGGTACAAAAAAAGAGCCCTGCAAGTTACTATTTGATGATTTGATGAGCTGAGCTTGAGTGATCCTCTCTGTTTCACTTTTCTATCTGAAAAAGCTGATCTAAAGATGTGACAGAGGTCAAAAACTGTATGTGAAAAGTTGTGAAGAGTGGAAAGAACAACCAAAAACTGATTCAATTTAAACAATCTGTAGTTGTGTGTCCTACATAATGGTTTAAACAACGAACCTGGATTGGTCTCACATCGTTTGGTAAATACTACAATAGCCACAGCTGCCCTGGAGCAGGCTGAGGGAAGCGAGGCAAATAATCAGAATCAGAATCAGAATCATTTTTATTGCCACGTAAGTAACAGGAGGTCACAGACTAGGAAATTGCTTTATAATAGGTGCTTTTATCTCGCCTGACCCACACCAATCATACACTCACTCGCCCACATGCCAGACTCACACTAGGCCAGGTCGGTGAAGTGTCTTGCCCAAGGACGCAACGTCAGTTTGACACTTTACAGTCGCGGCTGCCCCACTGTGTAACTTCAGCTTGTCGAGGTAAAGAGTTCACTGGTCAATCTGTTTGGGTGTGGCACAAACCAATGCAAGTTCTGACCAATTGGCCTACATCTGACTTATATTGTTCTAACCAGAGTGATTCTTTGTTTTGTTCTAACCAGAGTGATTCTTTGTTTTGTTCTAACCAGAGTGATTCTTTGTTTTGTTCTAACCAGAGTGATTCTTTGTTTTGATTTAACCAGAGTGATTCTTTGTTTTGTTCTAACCAGAGTGATTCTTTGTTTTGTTCTAACCAGAGTGATTCTTTGTTTTGCTTTAACCAGAGTGATTCTTTGTTTTGTTCTAACCAGAGTGATTCTTTGTTTTGCTTTAACCAGAGTGATTCTTTGTTTTGTTCTAACCAGAGTGATTCTTTGTTTTGCTTTAACCAGAGTGATTCTTTGTTTTGTTCTAACCAGAGTGATTCTTTGTTTTGCTTTAACCAGAGTGATTCTTTGTTTTGATTTAACCAGAGTGATTCCTTGTTTTGATTTAACCAGAGTGATTCTTTGTTTTGTTCTAACCAGAGTGATTCTTTGTTTTGTTCTAACCAGAGTGATTCTTTGTTTTGCTTTAACCAGAGTGATTCTTTGTTTTGTTCTAACCAGAGTGATTCTTTGTTTTGCTTTAACCAGAGTGATTCTTTGTTTTGATTTAACCAGAGTGATTCCTTGTTTTGATTTAACCAGAGTGATTCTTTGTTTTGCTCTAACCAGAGTGATTCTTTGTTTTGCTTTAACCAGAGTGATTCTTTGTTTTGCTCTAACCAGAGTGATTCTTTGTTTTGCTTTAACCAGAGTGATTCTTTGTTTTGTTCTAACCAGAGTGATTCTTTGTTTTGATTTAACCAGAGTGATTCTTTGTTTTGTTCTAACCAGAGTGATTCTTTGTTTTGTTCTAACCAGAGTGATTCTTTGTTTTGTTCTAACCAGAGTGATTCTTTGTTTTGCTTTAACCAGAGTGATTCTTTGTTTTGTTCTAACCAGAGTGATTCTTTGTTTTGCTTTAACCAGAGTGATTCTTTGTTTTGTTCTAACCAGAGTGATTCTTTGTTTTGCTTTAACCAGAGTGATTCTTTGTTTTGTTCTAACCAGAGTGATTCTTTGTTTTGCTTTAACCAGAGTGATTCTTTGTTTTGTTCTAACCAGAGTGATTCTTTGTTTTGCTTTAACCAGAGTGATTCTTTGTTTTGATTTAACCAGAGTGATTCCTTGTTTTGATTTAACCAGAGTGATTCTTTGTTTTGTTCTAACCAGAGTGATTCTTTGTTTTGTTCTAACCAGAGTGATTCTTTGTTTTGCTTTAACCAGAGTGATTCTTTGTTTTGTTCTAACCAGAGTGATTCTTTGTTTTGCTTTAACCAGAGTGATTCTTTGTTTTGATTTAACCAGAGTGATTCCTTGTTTTGATTTAACCAGAGTGATTCTTTGTTTTGCTCTAACCAGAGTGATTCTTTGTTTTGCTTTAACCAGAGTGATTCTTTGTTTTGTCCCCCCTTGGACTGCCACCTTAACGTGGTGGGGGAGTTTGAGCACTCGGATGATCCTGGGAGCTATGCTGTCTGGGGCTTCATGCCCCTGGTAGGGTCTCCCATGGCAGACAGGTCTCAAGTGACGAGTCAGACGAAGCGCAGTCCGAAGCCAACCATGGACAGCACGACAACAAAAACCGTGACGTCGCCCGGCATGGCGCAGCCGGGGCCCCACCCTGGAGCCAGGCCTGGGGTCGGGGCTCGCAAGCGAGCGCCTGGTGGCCGGGCCTTAGCCCACGGGGCCCGGCCGGGCTCAGCCCGAAGGGATGACGTGGGCAGTCCCTCCTGTGGGCTCACCACCTGCAGAGGGGTCCGTGGTGGCGAGGTGCAGAGAGGACTGGGCAGCAGTCGAAGGCGGAGACCTCGACGACCCAGTCCACACACCCAACATCTGGCTCTTGGGACGTGGAACGTCACCTCACTGGGGGGGAAGGAGCCCGAGCTTGTGGGGGAGGTTGAGCGATACCGACTAGAGATAGTCGGCCTCACCTCCACACACAGCTTGGGCTCTGGAACCCAACTCCTTGAGAGGGGTTGGACGCTCCACTTTTCTGGTGTTTCCCGCGGGGAGAGGCGGCGAGCTGGGGTGGCCATACTCATTGCCCCCCATCTCAGCCGCCACGTGTTGGAGTTCTCCCCGGTGAATGAGTCACGGCCTGTCCATCACGAACACCATGTTCGAGCACAAGGGTGTCCATCAGTGCACGTGGCACCAGGACACCCTAGGCCGGAGGTCGATGATCGACTTTGTAGTCGTATCATCTGACCTTCGACCGCGTGTCTCAGACACTCGGGTGAAGAGAGGGGCGGAGCTGTCAACCGATCATCACCTGGTCGTGAGTTGGATCCGCTGGCAGGGCAGGAGGCCGGTCAGACCTGGCAGGCCCAAGCGTGTAGTGAGGGTTTGCTGGGAACGTCTCGCTGAGCCCCCTGTCAGACGGACTTTCAACTCACACCTCCGGGAGAGCTTCTCCCAGGTCCCGGCAGAGGAGGGGGACATCGAGTCCGAGTGGACCATGTTCTCTTCCTCTATCGCCAATGCGGCGGCTCGTAGCTGTGGTCGCAAGGTCTCTGGTGCTGGTCCCGGCGGCAATCCCCGAACCCGGTGGTGGACACCGGCAGTAAGGGATGCCGTCAGGCTGAAGAAGGAGTCCTATCGAGCAATGATGGTTCGTGGGACTCCTGAGGCAGCTGTCCAGTACCGGCAGGCCAAACGTGCCGCGGCCCGGGCTGTTGCAGAGGCAAAAACCCGGGACTGGGAGGAGTTCGGAGAGTCCATGGAGCATGACTATCGGTCGGCCTCGAAGAGGTTCTGGCAAACCGTCCGGCGCCTCAGGAGGGGGAAGCAGTTCTTTGCCAACACCGTGTATGGTGCGGGTGGAGGGCTGCTGACCTCGACTGGGGATATTGTCGGGCGGTGGAAGGAATACTTCGAGGTTCTCCTCAATCCCCCCGTCACGTCCCCCGTCCAGGAGGCAGAGGCTGAGGATGTTGGGGCGGATACTTCCATCTCCCTGGCCGAGGTCACCAAGGTGGTTGGCAGCCTCCATGGTGGCAAGGCGCCGGGAGTGGATGAGATCCGTCCTGACTATCTAAAGTCTCTGGATGTTGTAGGACTGTCTTGGCTGACACGTCTCTGCAACATCGCGTGGCGATCGGGGGCGGTGCCAATGGAGTGGCAGACCGGGGTGGTGGTCCCTCTCTACAAGAAGGGGGACCGGAGGGTGTGTTCCAATTA